AAGCACTATCTCAACCTTCGAATGAGCTTTGAATCGTAAATACCATGAAGATGTCGAATAAAAATTACTGGCTTTTTCTTAAATATTAAGCTAACTATCTATCTTCCATGTAAACGAAAATCAATGTTTGTATGTCCTCTATGCGTTTCTAAACTATTCATCCGATTGTGATGAAATTTAGTACATCATTATCATCATCAGTCTATAGTAGTCCACTGTTGGACATGAAAATTTTTGTTTTTTTTCTTCTTCATATGTACCACCATCAATGTACGCTAAGGGACGCACATGTACTTTCTACAAATGAGTGAGTTTACTACATTAGCGAAAGACTCAGTGGGTTTCTGTAGTTATAGAATATACTCTTTGATCTAATTCTGGGATATTTTTGTAACGTAATGAGGAGATCAAATCACAAACACTTTGGTTTGAAAACATCTAAAATAAGTTCAAAAGCAAACTTTCCGTCTCCATTAGATGATTAAGTTGTTTCGTTTCTTTTACATTTTGTTAAGGGTTAGTAGAGGATTTATATTCAGCAATATTTTATTATCGCATACTTTAAAACACAGAATAAGTTGTAACTAAGCGAATAGCGTAAAGACAAAATTGGTAATTGAGAAATAGTTATATAATTTTTAGTTAGAAAAAATTGTTCAAAAGTTGCTTACTGTTACTTTTTTTTATGATTGAAAGATTACTAGTGGCTCGGAGGTATTTCTAGTTTCACCAGGGCAGAACGGCAAGCATGGGCTCAGCCAGGAGGAGTGGAATTTGCTACAAGCTACCCGAGCGCCTCCAAAGGAGACCTAACAACTCAAAAGTAGCTGCTTTGCGAATGAATCTACTACCAAATCGGAATCGCGACCCGCTGAGAAGATCCAGCGAGAAACTTAGCGAGCTGATGTTTAAGTTAAGTTCCACGTCGAGTTCTTTGCCGAGTTCGACGAGTACGGTTACCGGAGTCTGTGAGCCTGTCCCTAGATAGTGCTAGAGGTAAAGGCGTCTAATGCAACGACTTTTACTTACTTACGTTACTTTTAATTGCAAAAATGGATGACTAAGTTGAATGAATAATGACCCACTCGTTGCTAAGTCATTATCTTCGCTCACTGGATATTACAACAAGAACCCCATTAGAAGGGAGAACACGTGGTGATCTCAGTTGCATTGTATAATTTTTATATCACTCTTCAAGATGAAACTCATGATTTCTTCAAGATAGAAATAAGTAAGATAGTGAAACCCACCCGCGTAGGCTGACAATACGGTCTAATAATAATTTAATGGTTATTGGCTATCATAGTATGCTCGTTTAAAGCTCAGAGAACGCTGCCCATTCTCCGGCGATTCACTTAGTCGCTTTTTACTACACCCACGGGAGAAATTGGGTGGTGCTATTATAGGCCATACCACAGAGACACTAGGAGTATGAGTAATAACTGCTGTATTATTTACTAAGGATTGTTAGTAGCTCACTTACCCAGACACATGTTTATACTATGTACCTAACTATACTTGAGACCTTAGAACTTATATCTCAAAGTGGGAGGCGCATTTACGTTGTAGACGTCTATGGGCTCTAGTAACCACTTACCACCAGTTGGGCTGTAAGCTCGTCCACCCATCTACGCAATAAAAAACAAAAAAATATATATTTAGTTAATAAAAATAAAATAAGCGTAATGTTTGATAAAAAGGACAGTTTCAACGTTCAAGCCTTTGTAAGTTCAATAATTTTATTAAATACAGCGACTGCCAAGTTGTAGTATCGGTAAATAAAACCGTAACGGTAAATAAACGAAGATCTGACGTCACACGCTTCTCGGTATCTCGTAACGAATTTAACGAAGCCTAAAGGGATAGCGCGGCAGCCCTACTTTCACGAAAGTCAAACAAAGCCAAAAGAACCCACCCACCTTTTAATAAATATTGAAATTCTCAGAATCACTACACAATCTCATTAAGACCGAAATACCTTAGTGTAGGGTACTGAAATATAGCTGAAACATTACAATAAAGAGAAGATCAATAAAATGGCTCTCAGTGTTAGGAGCAATAAAGTAACATCAATTGAAAATTGTATTTGACGAATCCATAAGGCGGATAGTTTACATTTCAGTTATTATAGTTGAAAATTTCAATCCTCAAATTTCTATTTAATCTGGCGTTTCTTTTTATTCCATTTAATACGTTTCCATGTTCTATAAATAAAATTGTACTCGTAGATACAAACGTTCAGTCTTCAGTATAAAGTCGAGTATGACTAAAAAGTCGGTATAAAGTTTGAATCAGATCAAGCAGTTCCTAGAGTATATCTATATATTAATACGTGAAGCAAAAACTTTGTATCCCTTTTTACGAAAAATGCGCGGACGGAGGAGTATGAAATTTTCCACACTTATAGAGAATATAGAGAAGAAGTGCACAATGCTAATTTTTTTTAAAATAATGTATAAAAGATACATTAAATCAATAAAGAAAACATTACACACACTACATACCATGTATTTGACGCACACACGCATGCATACTATTTATTGTCAAACTTTTGTTCCTGACGTCTGTGGTCAAATTGAGAATAGATTAAATATTGTTTGTCTTTATTAATATTTTTTTATAGTGTAGCTTTGGTGAAATTTGTGATTATAGAAGAATAAAATACAATCTTACAAATCTTACAATTATAGTCGAATTTCGACTACTGCGGGACCTCTAGTTATAATTTAATTACCTTATGAGATTCTTTGAATGATGACCACTCTATTATAGTATTCCCAAATTAGGTAGTTTTGGTATAAATTACGTATAGGAAATTACGTGTGATGGTGAATTTAAAATATTATTATTGGATTTTTTATTAGAATTTAATTAAATTTTTAAGAATTACAGAACTACGCACCATGTGCTCGAAATTTTGTACAGAGAATTCGGACAAGACTACTTAGACTAAATAATTTTAATCAAAACTATGATCCTGATATAATATGCTGTCTCCATAATGTATATACGTATATTTATTAGAGATAATTTTCAGTACGTCATTATTATTTTTTTGGATAGTAAGACTAAAAAATAGCATTTAACGCTTTTGGATTTCGTAAAAAAAATGATACGACAAAAATAAGTGAAAAAGAGATGACTTTAACAATTTTAGAATTTGATTTTAAGAAGCATTTGTTTCTTTTAAAGAAAACACTGATCGTGTTAATTAATCAAAATGTTTGCTAATAAATTAAGCTGTATGGCAATAAAACTTATTACGGACCATGCTTACGTTGACCTTATCGTTCATATTGGGAATCGCGTCACATTTTGCCATTTATGAAATCATCACTGAGAAATACAGTTTATTGATTCTTTTCAAAGTACATTCGAGTTTGAAATATATTAATTTAAATGGAAAATACCACCAAATATTCATAAACACGTTCTTTATTAATTTATTGGCACGTACAAAAAGATACAAGTTTTAAATTTAAGATTATATGATGATTTACAAAAGGATATGACCTGGCTCGAACCGCCCCGTGAATATCAAAATCCATAGGTAAATAACATTAAAACGGTCGACCGAAAAGTAACTGTAAATACCAGTTTAGTCATAATATTATATTGTTACAAGTTTGTGACAGTTATATGTGTAGCGCTAGATTTTTTTGGGCAATGATCAAAATCTTTACTACAGCTATTGTCTCGAATTCTGTCCTCCACATTTTAAAATCTATTAAAGATTGCAAATTTAGTGTGTGTTTTACTGTGCTTAATATATTTAGGTAATGACACGGCATGGTGACTGCTCGTTGAAATCACTGCTTTACATGACACCGAAACTTTTGTGTCGCCGCATTATGCTCTCTATTGTCTTTACAGAAATGGCAAAATATGATTATAATATTTAGTATGGCTGCGAAACATACTTCATAATTGCAAGTTATTGCATGAACAGTATAATTCCTTTTCAACACATTGAACGTGAAACTAAACATTTTACGAAGGTACTAAGTAATAAAGTTTATGTTTTAGCATATATTTGGATTTTCGACAAAATATTTACTAATATTAAATCTTATTTTGCCAATCAAATCAAAAGGATACTTGACAAGTAAAAATTAAATTCTGCACGCCTTATCTGGTTTTAAAACTGTCAAGAAGAAAACAAATCTAAAAATTGATTTTAGATTTGCCTCGGGGCAAAAAACTCATTAAGTTCGTTTCTCTAAATGGTCAAAATCCTTTAAATGAGACGAAAAATATGCTCCGAAACGGGTTAATAAAATATGTAGACGATTCAGCAGACTTGTGTGTATAGTATGTAAGACGTGGAATTCCTTTACTTAACGAATATTCTTTTTGAAATTTAAATGCAGTTGAGACTTCGATCTCATGTGTTAAAGGGCACTGCAGAACTCTTGGTATAGCTATACACAACCATGATTTGATTAAAGTAACACACAAATTTCATTGTATGTAGCTTGACTAAGAAATAATGTTGAATACGGCAAACCTAACTTGGATTCTTTAGTATTCCAAAACAAATAAAAAATATCTGATAATATCTTAGGGTCGGCAATAAAGAGGACATTGGCTCGCAAATGGTGCCCAAACATGGGTTTTTAATTGACTAAATATGTTGAGATCTGGTAGGTTGTTGTTCTACTAGTATAAATCATCTAGGGAGTGTTCGAGACCGTTAAGTCTCTTATCGATGTTAACGGTTTTGTCTGGAAAAAAAGAATTTGTGTTGGCGTAAAGTTAATTTTCACAAGATATGATATAATATACGATATGAGATATATAGATATAAGAAATTTTGTTATTTATTTCAATGAGTATGAAATTTAAAAAAATGTTGTAAAATAACTAAAATAACTTTAAAACTATCTAATTGATTAATCAGATTTAATATAAAACGCAACATGATGTTACTCTCTTGCTTGATCAAGTCAATTATGTAGTGACTCACAAACATTATGCATGTCTATTGCAGGTAATTTCAATTATAATTTATAAATCTCGTACCCCGGAACCGAGGTAGAATCATCATCATCTTCCACATGAATTATCTTTTCAACGTTTTCGTTGAAGGTTACTACAGATTTTCTTCTGTTCTTTTTATTTTCGCCAAATTCATCGTCATCAGATTCATCCGTTGCATCTTTAAGTTTATCTATTGATTGAATTACTATGGGCAAGCTGGGTTCCATTACAGGTATATCTATTATTGATTCTGTTGGAGGCTCACTCAGTTTTTCTGTCGATGCCGAGGCTTTAACTTCCTCAAGAGGAGGAGCATCTAATATTTCCTGAAGTTTTCGTTCACTTTTTCTTAAATCTTCTATATAAAGTCTCGGCTTTTGTTCTGCTTCCGTTTTCGGTAGCTGACCCAGTGAGTTAGTTCGTGACGCTATGCTATTTTTGTCACTGAATTGTGAATAATGCGGACTTTTTCTTCTGTAACATTAGTTAGATATGTAGCTTTATATAAATAGTACATAAAACGACCACATTTTTTTATCTACACGTGCTTACCTTTTAAGTATGGACCAGACAACAGCTACAACTATTATTATGAAGAGCAGGATACTAAGGAGTATGCACGCGATCAACAAGCCGGTATCACGTTCCGCAATGACGCATATCTCTCGACCTTCTAGATGATCTTCAAGAGATATGGCATTCGCCACGATGTCCACGATGATTGCAATGTTATTTATGTCACTGAAACCAGTAAAATATTTGATTGTTACCATTAGCAAGAATGAAAGAGGAATTAAGTATTAACGTTGTCTTAATCTCACGTTATTAGTCTTTCCACTGAAACCGGTTCCCGTTCGTTTAATCCATAAATATAGAGCTGCATGGTAGTACCAGCCACACCCGCATCACGTTCCTTCCTTGTGTCGTCGCTAGGTTGGGCGGCATCTGATATTATATCGGACCTCAGTGCTTTAACTTCGTATCCAACACCGGTGCTTAGTTGTGAAATAATTTTTATTTCATCATCTAGGAATGAATTCTGAACTGTAACAACCGCTATGTTGTTCACATCCAGTAATTTCACCTGCAATTACATTTTCAACTATGAATTTGAAATGCATTTGTGTAAATGCATGTTAAGATAAATAAATACTGTTATCCAAATATCTATGGTTCGTATTATTGACAAATTAATACGTGAAAGAAACGTGATTCGGTAATGAAGGTTAAAGTAATTGATTAACATGCCTTAAGCTGTTGTTGTAGATGATTGTAAATATCTTTTAATTAAGTTTAAATTGTTCACTGATTTTTGAGAGGCCAGAACAAATGTTTATGTTAGCAGGAAATAATCCCGTCCGGTATTATTGATTTCATCTTGTTGAATTCTAATTAATGCAATTTAATCCAATTAAATCTGAGTCTTGTTTCAAAATTCTAATTACATCCTGAGCAAACATGAATGCAAAAAATTTCCTTTTCCTATACAAATATTGGGTACCCACTTTATTTATTTATTTGAGGTCATTTATTTCGAATCTAAACGGGCGTCCACGTTTACTGCTAAAGGAAATCATAAATATTACCTATCATTTGATTCAGTGTGTTAGTTTCGGTTCAATGTTCTAATTAATTCAAACATTGCGATGCTAACTGCTGCAAATTACAGGAAATATAAAAAAAGGAACCCGGTCTTGTTTTTAAGGAAAAAACTAGCGACAACTCAAATGACTTCATATTGTGTGGGTTTAAAAGACACTTTATACCAAAAAACATTGTGTACCTGAATGAAATCTTTTTTTATTTAACAACGAACTTGGGAGGATTGATTTGAAAACATACAATGACGTTATCTACAAGTATTTAACGAATAATATCATTCTCAATTTAAATACACACTTGATACGAAATACGTGGTTATAGTTTTTTATACATTGCGGCGTGTTATATTCGGAGTAATATTTGTAGGTTTTTATTTTAAACTTTAATTTAGTGTTATTTTGTACTCTCTCTTTCAAAGTCGTATTAAAATCGTATTAAAGTATTTACGTAAATAAGTATCACAGTGTAAAGCGAATTAACTTCATTTGTGTTGCATATTTCCTATTTCCGCCTATTTCCGCCGTGAAGCAGTAATGCGTTTCGGTTCGAAGGGCGGGGCAGCCGTTGTAGCTATACTGAGACCGTAGAACTTATATCTCGAGGTGGGTGGCGCATTTACGTTGTAGATGTCTATGGGCTCCAGCATAAAAAAAAAAGCATAGCATTTTCAAGTACCTACACATTGTTCGACAACTAAAAAAAAGCTTAAATAGCAAACAGAGCTAAAAATTATACTATTTGTATTCCTGTATATCCTGATGATACCGATCTGTTTTTTAGTAAATCATCATCGATCGCTGCTGCATGTCGTAATTTTAAGCAATTGAATGTAGTTGAATTATTACTTTTTTAAATTCTTTTTTTTACTTAGATGGGTGGACGAGCCCACAGCCCACCTGGCGTTAAGTGGTTACTGGAGCCCATAGACATCTATAACGTAAATGCGCCACCCACCTTGAGATATAAGTTCTAAGGTCTCAGTATAGTTACAACGGCTGCCTCACCCTTCAAACCAAAACGCAATACTGCTTCACGGCAGAAATAGGCAGGGTGATGGTACCTACCCATGCGGTCTCACAAGAGGTCCTACCTCCAGTAATTACGCAAAATATAATTTTGCGGGTTTGATTTTTATTACACGATGTTATTCCGTCACCGTGTAAGTCAATCGTGAACATTTGTCAAGTATATTATTTCGTTAGAAAAATTGATAACCGTCTGCGGAATTCGAACACCGTTGCATCGCTAGATACGAATGCACCGGACGTCTTATCCTTTAGGCCACGATGACTGTCGGCCTAAACGATAGCCTATAAATAATGGTCTAAAGGCCTGACTTATAATTTCAATCGTCTTATGATTTTCATCTCGGGAATCAACAGCTCATTTCACTTACAGGAAAGATTCCAATAGGTAATATAATATATGAGTGTATCTCGTTTTTTTTCCTACCTATGCTGATAGCCTTGAGAAGCTATTTTAGCTTTACCCTAGCGTGTGGTGAGCTCTCGGGGCTCAAGCTGGAGGTATTGCTAACACTGGCCTTAGCAAGAGCAGTGCTTCCCAGAATCTATAATCGGATCGGAAACGCGACCGACTGAGAAGATCCGGCGAGAAACTCAGTGGGTAATATCTGGTATTTATGCGTCTATACGTACAAGTAGTTTTATATGTCCGGTGAGTCCTTCTCCGTTTCTGTCTGTAGCGTGCACTGTAAGCTCTTGGTTATCTTGTAGGCGAGCTCCGGAGCGTACGTGAACAAATCCTGTTGTAGGAGAAACCACCACCGCGGGTTCATGGCTCCAGTAACGAAGGACTGCATTCTCGCCTATATCTGCGTCCGAGGCCTAGAAATTAAAGAGCATTTTTTACAGGTCCCCTATTATAGCTACGCTTGAGCTGTAACAAAAGTTTTTTCGAGAGCAATTTTGCAAAAATAATGCACACAATTACAAGAGCTTTTTAAAGAAAATAAACAGTTNAGGAGAAACCACCACCGCGGGTTCATGGCTCCAGTAACGAAGGACTGCATTCTCGCCTATATCTGCGTCCGAGGCCTAGAAATTAAAGAGCATTTTTTACAGGTCCCCTATTATAGCTACGCTTGAGCTGTAACAAAAGTTTTTTCGAGAGCAATTTTGCAAAAATAATGCACACAATTACAAGAGCTTTTTAAAGAAACTAAACAGTTTGACCGATAATTTTTTTCTTTTCTATATAACAAATGCAAAACACATTCCTTAGAATTCGATATGATAATTTTAGTTCTGAGATTGATTCACGGATAAGATATGATTAATATTATCTTTGTAATTAATTAAGATTAGGTACTGATATGTATCATAGTTAAAATGTTATTAAATATTTGTATGAAATCTATCCGAAAAGTTGTACAGTGGTTTACAAAAAAACTCTGTTAAAACACGCCTCTGAATGATACGAATTATAAAAATATATTCACATCACGCATGTCTAAATAGTTCTTTGATAGGAATGAGTCAACATTTACTTTTTTAGCTTCATGTAATATATTCACATGACATAAACTAGAAATGTGCAAAAGTGTGGTTTTATGTGAAATTAATGAATGTCCGAAATCGCCAGTCAATTATTCATCATTGTGAAATATTAGCACTTAAAATGGAATTTATTAATATAATATGTAGTTTAATAACTCAAAAAATACACCGAAATTATTGAATTAGATATTATAATAATATAATAAACCTAAATAACAATTAAATTCATCTTTTTTTTAAACTTATTAATACTAGTCAGGATACTATAGCGAAGTAACAAAATAATTGTAGTGTTATCGATCGTTGATGCGTGTGGAAAATTTCAAGTTAATCTTTTTGAACTCAATGAAAATGACGTTCAAAAATTCTGTTATAGACAAACAAACACACATACATATCAAGTTAATAAAACCCTGTTAAAAAGGAAGCGCAATCTGCCTAGTACTGCTCCCCTAACTAACCCCTAACTTTGCCGCGAATCCTTCAAGCTGTTTGAGTGGTAAAATGCCGCCAACCACCTTACGAAAAAGTTCTAAAGTCTAAGTTATAACAGTACCTTGGTTGCCCTATTCTTCAAACCGAAACGCAACTGCTTTATGGCAGAAATAGGCAGGGTCTTGGTACTTACAAGACGTTCTACCACCAGTAATTACGCAAATTGTACTTTTGCGCGTTTAATTTTTATTACACGATGTTATTCCTTCGCCGTGGAAGTCGTAAACATTTGTCAAGTACGTAATTCATTAGACAAATCGGTACCTATCTGCCTGCCGGATTCAAACCGGTTGTATCGCTTGATACGAATGCACCGGGCGTCTTATCCTTTAGGCCACGACGATCTCAAACTTTTTTGTTGCCCTTGTAGGCACACGAGCATACCCAGCTAATGGTGAGTGGTAACCGACGCCCATGGACTTCAGCAATGCCAAGGACCGAGTCAAGCCCTGCCTACCGTTAAGGGTATTAGAGTAAATTATTAAAATTAAATTAAATTTAAATTATAGCATGCCTAATTATACAAATTCTAATTGGCACAGACGGGAAGTATTGGGAGGATTTAACGAATATGCCGTTCAATCGGATTAACCAAAATAATTCAAATTAAAACAAAGTTTTTGGGTATCACCTACATATATGTATGTTAGTTTGTAATATTGTGATTTAAAATAATATTGCAAAATGTCGAAAATCCCTCTTATACATATTTAGTGTTTTCGTGTGAAAGAGAAAAATATAAAATATATAGGGGGGATTAACAATATTACCTTTAACTCGGCCAAAGAGCGTGGTAGCAAGACTTCTTCTAAATCGGAGATCGGGTAGCCCACAGCGATCGGTTCATTTTCCTTTCCAACAAACACGGGTGCATTGTCATTTATATCATTCACGATCAAATTCACAAAACTACGCCTAGAGTTGTATAGGATCGAATCTGTTAGTATCCAATGATTAGACCCATAATCGTCAACAGAATTTGTCTTTTGGTCAATAGATCGCTTCGATCGGACCTTATCGTTCGCGCAATGAAGGATAAGTTCAACTTGTACTTGTGATACTTTCATAAACGCTATAGATTCATGTTCTCTGTCGATGGCTCTTGTGTGTAGTCCTGTATCATCAACATATAGCCAAGTTTGGTCGACCGGCCACCGGTTTGTTAAGGTGTAACGACATCCTTCGTGTTTCTCTGGGTTTAAAGCAACTAAATCGCGGTGAGGTGATTCTTCATCTCTGTCTATAACTAAAAGAGGCGGCATAACAAGATCATCACCGCATATCGTTGCTGCATCAACTGTCAAATGTACCTGAAAGTAATTTCGCGTAATGTATTACTTTTAATGACATCTTATACATATTAGGGATTTTTTTTCCCTCTCTAAGCTGATAGCCTTGAGAGGCTATTTCAGCGTAACCTTAACTAGCAGGTGAGCTCACGGGGTTCAAACCTGACGAAGTTGCTAACACGAACCCTAGCAAGAGCCGTGCTTCGCAGAATCTACGACCGGATCGGAAACGCGATCCACTAAGAAGATCCGGCGAAAAACTCAGTGGGCTGTGTCTGTGGGTTAATTTACTCGTTAAGCCCTTCGTCGCAAGCAACAGGTTCGACGAGAACGATGACCGGTTAGGGAATACTGATATTTAATTAGATTCTTTTTCTTTTAGGCTTTTGTTGATTGTAACTTGTATATGTTTCCTAAATGTTGCACACATCTGTAGTCGTCGTGGCCTAAAGGATAAGACGTCCGGTGTATTCGTATCGGTGTTCGAATCCCACTAGCAAGTACTAATATTTCTAATGAAATACGTACTTGACAAATGCTCACGATTAACTTCCATGGTAAAGGAATAGCATCGAATAGTAGAAATCAAACCCGCAATTATAATTTGCATAATTACTGGTGGTTGGACCTCCTGTCAGTCCGCACGGGTAGGTACCACCACTCTACCTATTTCTGCCGTGAAGCAATAATGCGTTTCGATTTGAAGGGTGGGGCAGCCGTTGTAACTAATATTGAGACCTTAGAACTTATATCTCAAGGTAGGTGGCGGCATTTACATTATAGATGTCTATGGCCTCCGGTATCCACTTATCACCAGGTGGGCCGTGTGCTCATCCACCCACCTAAGTTTAAAAAATAACCACACATTTATTACACAAAAATATTTTGTAGAAAGGTAATGGGATATCGATTATTTAATAAAAGCAATAAATTACTGTAGCAAGAGCTGAAGCCCGTGTGAAGACTGTAGTAGCGACAACTTCGAAAGTGTAAACCCCGGAGTTAGCGGGCGCGGACAGATGCAATTCACCGTCGTTGTTCACTGACAAACGATCCACCAAGTGAACTGTGAAAAAAAAAACGTACAAACAAACTAAGAAACTAATTAACTGAATATTGTTATTGAAAATACTCTCAACAAACAATAAATTCATACATTTTTGACGTGATAACGTTGTTTAAATCGATAGATACCGGCTGCACGCACGAAAAAGTGTCACGTTCCGTCTGAGCTTTAGCGTGCAAGTGAGAGCGCAGAACGAGCAATAGAGAGGCACGATCGGCCCAAGCGTTGGCTTGTGAAACATTTATCTCTACTCGCGTGACGTCAGAACTAGCAGTTCGAATAGTTTTGCTAGTGACGTTATCACGTAAAACTATATACTTTACAGACGACCAATTTTTTTTTGTACACGTTAATCTAGTGAAACAAAAGAAATTAATACTCATACATACAAATTTTGTAATAAATATTGAATGAATGGATTCTCGCTCATCACTAACTTTTCTCAGGTTCAGTGAGCAAACCGACGTTTGACAAATGAAGTTCATATCTATTCGCTGTTTCAACATCCACACATGTACAAAATATTATTGTTTATCATATTATTATACTCTACGTATCTCGTTAATAAATAACTTTTCTCTTACGACCTTGATTGTTTTCATAGAACACTATTTCTTGGTAGCTATAACGAATAAAGGAAAGTAATAACAAACAGTCGTTTTGATTTTCACGATGATGTCGAAATCAACAAAACAATAAAACAATTATTGTCGTTCATCTATTTTAGGCCAAGGGTAGGCGTATCGGTCATATTCATTCCGACTTAATAATTAATTTGAGCAACAACATCAATACTATCAAAATCATAAAATTGCTAATACTAAAAGTTCAGGCGTTCCGAATCTTCATGCTTAACTCAACAATAACTTATGAACAAATCATGTAGTACATATAATTGAATAATAATATTTTCTTTTTTTTTAAGGGATTTTATGACCTGGTAACTGAGACCTTTAAGTCATGCCTTATTTTAATTTATATTCATATTTCTATGAAAAATTATTATTATGAAGTGAAATGAAATGAAGATGATTAATTTGAGACAGTACTCAACCGGGATGAAATTAAATGAAATGAAATGGGATGAAATATAACCTCAGTAAAATGGTAGTCATTTACTAAGATTTTTTCAATGGACTTTTTGGAGGATCCCGAGAAGTTACGTCCAGCGGCTTTGTTTCATTTTCCCACATTTGTGCACTTTCACACATATTAAACAGTTAATAAATCACCATTATTATACATTTAAACCCGAAGAAACACTAAATAGACAAAATAAAACAAATCACACAACTGCACTCCTCGCGTTCCCGCCAAAAAGCCCATTATATTTTCTTAATAGTTTTCAGTAAAATACCCTCTAAAAAGTATTGTAACAGCTTAGTTCTAAATACGGCTTTTTCTTCTTTGTTTTAGTAGAGCCTTGAGAGGAATTACAGTGCAAATTCACGTATTTACAGTATTGTGAAACTTTTTAATTAAGAGAGAGAAAAAAGAGAAGTTCCAGTTAACAGTTAGTGTTAGTGCTTAGCGAGTCTGAAATTTATTAATACCTAAGTATAATAACCGAATTCGTGTGTAATTATTTAATTATAATTAAGGAAGCCAGCGTGCGACGAAATTATAATAAATTGCGATAAACGTCTAAATTTAAGCTGAAAGGGTTCTTAATTTATTCGTAAGCTTCACAAATTACCTAATTTAGTCGTATCCCTATATATACCTACAGGGTTATATTATTTGTATTATATTATAACCTGTGACTATGCTAGCGCCATTCTGGAGGATTTTTGAACTGTTATTTAGTGCTGAAAGTGGGACACTTTTTCAAGCTCCTCCCATATGAGACGGTTTTCCTTATCTCTACCCTCCATAGACTAAAGTCAAAAGAAACATTTCGGCAATATCAAGAATATTTTGATTTTTTGAAACCTTATATTATAATATATTTATAATTTAAATGACTAAAATAATAATAAATCATTTGTTCGTAAATTGGCATTAAATCCTTTTTTCGGTAATCAATAGGTCAATGTCGTTATTGAGAGAACCTACAGGAATTTCTTACAGAGTATTGGTTTTATTCTAATAATTTTGTATGCAGCCTTATTACATTACACTCTATACCTACTCGGTACGATTTAAGCTAATACCATTGTTTCGATCTTGTATACCCATACTGAGATTATTCCTTCTCTGATTGACGTTAACAGTAATCCCGATTATCCTAAATTAAATAGGTTATGAATTAACGCTCTCTTAACATTTATATGCCGAAACAGAGTTTAATTCGTTAAGTGTATATTATGTAGGCTTTCGTTTTGTATTCTTAAATACCAATATTTTTTTAGGCATTGGCGTAGTTAGACAGCAACATGAATGCCTAATCTTGAGATAAAAGAATTTTACTGTGGTAAGACCTCTTGTGAGTCCGCGCGGGTACGTACGACCAACCTGCCTATTTCTGCCGTGAAGGAGTAATGCGTTTCGGTTTGAAGGGCGGGGCAGCCGTTGTAACTATACTTGAGACTTTAGAACTTATATCTCAAGGTGGGTGGCGCATTTACGTCGTAGATGTTTATGGGCTCCAGTAACCACTTAACACCAGGTGGGCTGTGAGCCCGCCCACCTTTTTAAGCAATAAAAAAAAATTACCCGCAATGTAGCACGGTGACAGCTATCTACAAACTGTCAGCTGTCACCACCTTCTGCATCCTGTTGAGATTGTTATAAGGCGGGGTATAATAACACAAAACAAAAATAATAGTTTAAAAAAACTAAAAAAATACGCTTTTATAGAAAATCCAACTAAAAAATAGAAAATAAATTTTAATAAATTTGAATTAAAAATAGTGTAAAAAAAAAGATTTTATTGTAAAAAAACTTAAAATATTGTATTGTTGTCGGTCCTTAATAAGTTTGGCAAATTTCAAGTTAATCCGATGTTTTGAAGGGGGTCAAAATCATGTTCAGAGATTCCGTTACATACTAACATATATACGTATGAAGCTAATAAAAACGTGTTAAAAAAACATTCACTACATTAGTAGTGTAGAGGTTACCTGAATAGCTTCGGGTTTCGGGAACGACTGCAATACAGGATGTGGGTAATAGTCATTTTAAGTTTAAGGTTTAAGTTAAGTACAATACTTACCGTTTTCAGTTCGGAGCGAATAGGTGACCGCTTCTCCATTATCGGCGCTTGCATGAACACGACCGATGAGACCGGTCCGGGTAATGTCGACGCGCAGAGCATAGGACGACGACCCGAAAACAACCAGAGGCGGATTCGGGTTTTCTGATGAATTTATATGAAAGTTTTAACACGAGATTCCGTTTAGTATGAATGCACGTCCGGATTTTTAAAACGCAATTGAGATAAGAAATGATAAATTTTTATTTAATCCAAAAAAAGTGGTTGGCTTTACTGAAACTTGATGTGCTTTAGATAATAATGTCGTTAAATTTCATCGAAAAGTTTGTTCAGTAATAATTTGAAATTATTTATGAAGATAGGGACTTCTACGAGTAAATATCAACTACAAACACTTTCACCAATACAAATTATTCGTGGTTAATATTTTTATTAAACTAGAGGTATTTGAATATTTAAAATAACTAGTGACGCCATTTCCTTTATGTTCAAAATTTGATAGATAGCTTGGAAATTGAATTGCATGTACTTGACATATAAATGCAAATTATGTAATTATTTACAAAAATTGGTGTTCTTTTTTTTTTAAACGAGATGTTCACAATAAACGAGGGAACCGCTGGTCATATTTCCATACGATATTTTACAGTAATACCGTTTGATAATGTTCAAAACGACGTACTAATCATTTTAAAATTAGAATAGTGTGCCAATCCTGGACGAGTAAGGCACTTCTTTTGTCTTTTTTTATAGTTCATCTTAACGTACAGTATTAGTATAGACAGTTTTTGATGGCCGCAGTATGTACATATACCTACAGACGCTTACATTGAGACATGAGTTGGAACCACAAAAATACTTGATTTATTTCTGTGATTGGAATATTCAAATGTATTTGAATTTTCGCTATTACGTAACCTAAAAATCGGAACCCATTATTATAGTATCCGCCCTTGCCTGCCCAACCACCAATAATCGCCAGGACTATTTCTTATTCTATCGCATTAAATATTTCTTTAGTGTTCATAATTGCGTATTTTTTTACCTGTAGATTCCACTGTAAGTAGTAGCACTGATCTTGCGCTTAAAGCATGCAGCTCTAGGGCTATGAGTGTGACGTCAGTCGGCACTGGTATCGATCCGGATAACTGAATAGTGATGACACCATTGTTAACGTTCGCGCCGAATAGACTTGCATACTCTGTATAAGGTGAAATAAGATTTACGAATTACCAATCGTCGTCGTCATATTCAGCCAAAATTCCACTAACCATAAGAGGCATATTGTTATCGGTATCATAGAGATCATATTGCTATCGACTTTTTCATTATTATTTTTTTGAGGCGAATAGAAACATTAGCATCGACACTCCTAAGCTAAAACAAGCTGCCGGTGTGTTAGTTCAATTGATACTTTAAATTTAACAAATCTTTGTTTTATCTCATTGTTATTAATAGCTTCACAGCTCTCGTTTTAGTGTTAAACACATTCGTTCATATCATTATCATCATTCTCCTGCCCTTCTCCCAGTCACCTGGGGTCGGGGCAACCTGTTTTCTCCTTCCATACTCCTCCATCATATACCATTTCTTCGCTCACTCCCCTCTTACACATATCGTTTTACACTCAATCTATCCATGCCTGATCAAAGCCAACACAACTAGGCTCAAGGTCAACAAAAGCATTCCCAAGGAGAGTTGAGGTCAGACAGGCGGCCCGTCATAAAAAAATTGCCAAAACATAGAGCAATATTCGTTTATAATCAAGCACAAAACATTACGCAAATACTGATTTAATTAATATGTAACTAAGAATTTTTTCGTTTATTTATGACTTCTGCAAAGACATTAGTTTATATTTTGAGTTGAAGAACTGTTACTAACCTCCAATCAATCGAATGTTCTCTCCGAGAAACCCAAAAACATTTATCTGCTCGTGCCGCACAATATTTCCCTGAATCAGACCCTCATAAAGAACTTTATCGAAATATTCATTTGATGGTACCTCTTCACCTGAAATATTTTGTACATCATAAAAATCGATTTATATATAGAAACTACCCAAGCCCTAGTACGAAACCGAAAACCACAGTCATTATTAGAAAGAAAAAAGAAAAAAACCCTGAAAAAAAACAATATTATTTAAAAAAACAGGTCTGTACAATACAAAAGCTGTAAGTATATAAAACGCTATCTAAGAATTTACTGAAGATAATATCGTTGCATAAGAATCTCAACTGTCGCGATAATTTGGATATGAATATGAAGTGCATGTTATTTTGAAAAGCGTTCCATTTTTATTAATTTCATGACCTCACAATTCCTTTATTGAACATTTTATTGAATTTAGTTTTCATAAAGCGCGCAGTATTTTTATATTTAACATAGTATTACATTTTGTTTATAAATTTTCGAGTAACAAGTGATTTATTTACATTCAGAGGTAAATTTAATAAAAGCATTATATATTTTTGATCATTAGTTTTCAAATCAAACAATACGTCATCAACTAAATTCACTGAAAAATATTATGTAAATTGTTGAGAAGAAACAGATTCATTTACCCTCTAATAATAAAATGATGATTGTGGCCCTCGCGGTGACACTGCCAGGTCTTTGTGCTGCGATATTAAAAATTAGTTTTCGGTTGTTTGCGAGGACCGTTGAGGGTATCGGCATCGCTAACGTTAGGGAAATAATATTCTCTTTTTTTACCAGGTTGAACCATTGCGTATTATCTGAAATTAAACACATTTATTATACTGAAAACCGAATGAACTAAATTACATAAATTCGTTTTTCTTGTTCATACCTCCTTCCAAATAAAAAATAACCATTTCATCATAACCCCGAGATAAAGAGATTGGCGTATCAAACACTAAGCCGTTTATTTCGGTATATGATCCAGTATAATGTGGTGAATCAAAAACAAGATCGTTGACTGGAGCTGCCGAATCCTCATCCCTAGCGATTGTAAGAACGATAGTAGTGTAAGCTGACACGGCTTGTGGGGCTGAAGCTCGGAGCTCTAGGACAATAACTCGGTTAGCAGGGATCAAATCTTCTGGGATGGTCCTATGGATCCCGATTGTTACAATCGAACCAGACGCCGTCACGGTGAAGAAATCGACGAGTTCTGAAAGTTTAACGTAGCTTAGAGTGTTATACAAAATGGTAATTAATGAACATACGTGCTGATTGACACATTACCGCCAAACAAAGTAAAGGAAACGCTGGTTGAGAACCCTTCCGTCAAAGCTATTGAGTCCAGAGCTACAGTGTTGTCTTCTATGGATCCCACGTATGTGACTCTCTCAAATCCGAGGAGACTCATTCCATCACTGGGTTCTGAATTATGAAATTTAAATCTTTAAGAAGCTGAACCTTCAATTTCACCATATTAAAAATGTGGTCTGAATAAAATTAAGAGAGTATTGATTTGCTTAAAGTAAACAAATACTTTTTTACTTACCGTCGATCAGGGAAATGATGATTGTGGTTCTTATCGTGATACTGCCAGGTCTTTGTGCAGCGACAGAGAAAATGAGTTTACGGTTGTTAGCAATAACTGCTGTCGGTATTGGAGTCCTTAATGTCAACGAAACTGAATTTTGATTTTGGATTAGGCTAAACCATTGCGCATTATCTGGAATCAAAAGAATTAGCCATGAGTGGAGGCAAAAAGCTCAACCCATCTTGGTTTATATGATTCATACCTCCTTCTAATGAAAATTGAACTGCGGTATCGTATCCCTGAGACAAAGAGATGGGAGTTTCGAATACCAAACCACTCATTTCGCTATACGATCCAGTATAATGTGGTGAAGCAAAAACAAGATCGTTGACTGGAGCTGCCGAATCCTCATCCCTAGCGATTGTAAGAACGATAGTAGTGTAAGCTGACACGGCTTGTGGGGCTGAAGCTCGGAGCTCTAGGACAATAACTCGGTTAGTAGGGATCAAATCTTCTGGGATGGTCCTATGGAACCCGATCGTTACAGTAGAACCAGACGCCGTCACGGTGAAGAAATCAACGAGTTCTGAAAATTTAACGTAGTTTAGAGTGTCATACAAAATGGTAATTAATGTACCTACATATTGATGGACACATTACCGCCAAACAAAGTAAAGGAAACGCTGGTTGAGAAGCCTTCCGTCAAAGCTATTGAGTCCAGAGCTACAGTGTTGTCTTCTATGGATCCCACGTATGTGACCCTCTCAAATCCGAGGAGACTCATTCCATCACTGGGTTCTGAAATATGAAATTTAAATCTTTAAGGAGCTGAACATTCCATTCCCCCATATTAAAAATGTGGTCAGAATAAAATTAAGACAGTATTGATTTGTTTAAAGTAAACAAATACTTTTTTACTTACCGTCGATCAGGGAAATGATGATTGTGGTTCTTATCGTGATACTGCCAGGTCTTTGTGCAGCGACAGAGAAAATGAGTTTACGGTTGTTAGCAATAATTGCTGTCGGTATTGGAATCCTTAATGTCAACGAAACTGAATTTTGATTTTGGATTAGGCTAAACCATTGCGCATTATCTGGAATCAAAAGAATTAGCCATGAGTGGAGGCAAAAAGCTCAACCCTTCTTAGTTTATATGATTCTTACCTCCTTCTAATGAAAATTGAACTGCGGCATCGTATCCCTGAGACAAAGAGATGGGAGTTTCGAATACCAAACCACTCATTTCGCTATACGATCCAGTATAATGTGGTGAAGCAAAAACAAGATCGTTGACTGGAGCTGCCGAATCCTCATCCCTAGCGATTGTAAGAACGATAGTAGTGTAAGCTGACACGGCTTGTGGGGCTGAAGCTCGGAGCTCTAGGACAATAACTCGGTTAGCAGGGATCAAATCTTCTGGGATGGTCCTATGGATCCCGATTGTTACAATCGAACCAGACGCCGTCACGGTGAAGAAATCGACGAGTTCTGAAAGTTTAACGTAGCTTAGAGTGTTATACAAAATGGTAATTAATGAACATACGTGCTGATTGACACATTACCGCCAAACAAAGTAAAGGAAATGCTGGATGAGAACCCTTCCGTCAAAGCTATTGAGTCCAGAGCTACAGTGTTGTCTTCTATGGATCCCACGTATGTGACTCTCTCAAATCCGAGGAGACTCATTCCATCACTGGGTTCTGAAATATGAAATTTAAATCTTTAAGAAGCTGAACATTCAATTTCACCATATTAAAAATGTGGTCTGAATAAAATTAAGAGAGTATTGATTTGCTTAAAGTAAACAAATACTTTTTTACTTACCGTCGATCAGGGAAATGATGATTGTGGTTCTTATCGTGATACTGCCAGGTCTTTGTGCAGCGACAGAGAAAATGAGTTTACGGTTGTTAGCAATAACTGCTGTCGGTATTGGAGTCCTTAATGTCAACGAAATTGAATTTTGATTTTGGATTAGGCTAAACCATTGCGCATTATCTGGAATCAAAAGAATTAGCCATGAGTGGAGGCAAAAAGCTCAACCCATCTTGGTTTATATGATTCTTACCTCCTTCTAATGAAAATTGAACTGCGGTATCGTATCCCTGAGACAAAGAGATGGGAGTTTCGAATACCAAACCACTCATTTCGCTATACGATCCAGTATAATGTGGTGAATCAAAAACAAGATCGTTGACTGGAGCTGCCGAATCCTCATCCCTAGCGATTGTAAGAACGATAGTAGTGTAAGCTGACACGGCTTGTGGGGCTGAAGCTCGGAGCTCTAGGACAATAACTCGGTTAGCAGGGATCAAATCTTCTGGGATGGTCCTTTGGAGCCCGATTGATACAATCGAACCAGACGCCGTCACGGTGAAGAAATCGATGAGTTCTGAAAATTTAACGTAGTTTAGAGTGTCATACAAAATGTTAATTCATGTACCTACATATTGATCGACACATTACCGCCAAACAAAGTAAAGGAAATGCTGGTTGAGAACCCTTCCGTCAAAGCTATTGAGTCCAGAGTTACAGTGTTGTCTTCTATGGATCCCACGTATGTGACTCTCTCAAATCCGAGGAGACTCATTCCATCGGTGTATTCTGTAAAAAATCATTTTTGAAGGACTTAAATGGACACACAATACATTTAAAAAAAATTGATAGTGAACTCTAAGTTGCAGTCCGACACCTTTTAAAAAAAATTAGATTTGGACTTACCATCGACTAAAGAAATAATTACGGTGGCACTTGCTAAGGCACTGCCAGGTCTTTGTGCAGTGAGAGTGAAAACTAGTTTTCGGTTGTTGGCGATGACTGCCGAAGGTATCGGAGTCTTTAGCTTCAATGAAACTGAATTTTGATTTTGGACCAAGCCGAACCATTGTGCATTGTCTGAAACAAAATGCGATGTTCGCATTGATTTATTAGTTACGTGATTAAAAATAACGTCATAGTGTTTTTTTTTTAATTACTAAGAAATGACTATATGAAATATGATATTCACATGTACCTCCGTTAAGGTGAAACGAAATATCTTCAAGATTTGTTGTAACTCTCATGTCGTGTTCAAAATTCAGTCCTCCATCATTTGAATAAGAACCAAGATAATATGTTTCTTCAAATTTCAAAATACTGACAGACCCATCAGTTTTAGTAATTATTTCTAAAACAACCGTTGTGTGAGTGCGCAAATTCTTCAGTTGCGCCTCTACAGTTAATACCAATACATTGTTGGTTGATGTGACGCTATCTGGTAGATTCGATCCCAAGTGTAACGTGAACACCCCATTTTGGTTATTTAATTGGAAGTATTCAGCATAGTCTAAAATAAATAAAATTTGTGTAATTATTTAAGTATATTTTAGCACAAATCATTAGTAAGCTTTGAAAAATTCAGACCCCTAACCTCCAATTAGTGAATAAGTTACTTCTGATGAGTACCCTTTCAAACTTATAGCATTTAATGCTAGAGTGTTTCCGTCAATAGCTCCCTTGTAAAAGTCTCGAGTAAACCGAATCGTTGTGGTTGTTGTATAGTCTGGAAAAGTTATAGAAATAATTTCGATAAAATATTACAAGCTTGTATTTTAAATACATTAAAAATGTTTCATACGTTTACGATTAATACGATTCTATTTCTCTAGCACCTTTTAATGAAATAACAACAGCAACTTGTCCATCCAAAGAGCCTGCTTTAGTTGCGACCACATTGAAAAGCAATTTACATTTGTCTCTTATCCGCAGGTCGCCTTCCATAACTGACAGTGCATGATTGTTAGGCCCGATTTGCACTAATCTAAACCATTGTGCGTCATCTGCAATTTATTAAGAAATTTATAAAAATAAAACATTACGTTCAATTTCGGAAGACAGTTCAACAAAACATAAGGTACTTACCGCCCGATAACGTAAACGAAACATTTTCATCAAATCCTTGTATCAACCGTATCGTATGCTCGAACACTAATCCAGTTTGTTCAGAGTATTCGCCGAAGTAGTAAGCTTCACTAAACACGGGGGTTTTGCTGACAGAATCCGTAATAATGTCTATAATAATAGTTGCATAACCACTGATCGCGTTGAGATAAGATGCTTCCAAGTTTAGAACGATGAAATTATTATTATTGATTATATCAATAGGTAAATCATTCACTAATGTTAGTCTTATTACATTAGATTCCTGTATAATTCGAAAATAGGATTCATAATCTGAAAGCAATATATATGTTCCATTATCTCGTCATAATTAATTCATTGTAAATCTACTTTCATTAAATTACTTAAATTAATTATTATTTATGAAAATATAAACCTCCAATGATATTTATGGTTGCTGGCTGGTCAGAATTTTCGAGACTTATATTCGGTGATTCGAGGACTCCATTTTGAAGAAAAGCTATGTAGCTATTCTGCGCGAATCTTAACACTGATACCTCTGAGGAGTCTGTAAGGAATTCAAAGTTAATAAATGATATACATAGCATATTCAGAGAGGTTCGAATGTATCAGAGGTTCGAATATGTTTATCTAATTGTAATCTTTAAGTCACTTATTTTTAACTTTAATTATTTTAATAGTTTTATTTAACCGGTGGCTTAATTGCCATGACAAATTATATATGGCTTAATTGTTAGAAGATCGCACTCTTTTGAAATCTTATATATTCCAATATTTTTTTATATTACCATTTTTGTTCAAGCTACTTAAAAGTAAATACATACAATTAATTTAATTATGAGCAGTTTCAAATTATTTTCCTAATCCCTATTCCAAGAAGCTTTTTTCTAAGAACTTCGGTCGTGATCGTACCTTTTGGTAGGTCAATGGACAAAATGGCTCTGCCTGAAACAGCGTTAGGCTTGGCAGCAACCACAGAGAATAGCAATTGGGTATTTTCATTTAAAACACTTTGTGGTATGGGTGTGAGCAGAGTAACAGTAGCCAAATTGTTATTTTGCGTTATTGTAAACCATCTTGCGGATTCTGAAAAAAAAGAAGGTTTTACCTTATCAGACTTTTCAATAAGGGAACGTAATGATTTGGGTATATGCACATTTACTATTGTTAGTATTTTAATGTCTCATTAGACAGGCCAGCGTACGGTATACCTGATACTGAATGGTCACCGATGCTCATGGACATGAACAATAGCGAGCGCACAGTTGAGAGCACTATTTAGGGCTCTTTTCAAATTTCATTTGAAGAAGGACTCGTCGTAATGCCTAAAAAACACCTTAGAATTCAAAAGATTTCAGTGACGGATGGTATCTGACAAAAATATCTTTGGGAACGTACTGCAAATGGGCGCGGTGATTCCAGGTAGTACTTAGAGTATGGGCATAGTCTAATTCTAAGGCGAACGGTTTTAAGGTAATTTTTTAATTTAATAATGACATCATTTCAAATAATATTCAGAAGAGCTTACATATATAAGCTCTAGAAAGCCGAAATCCTTCCGTAGACCCAATGTCTACTAACGATTTGTGAAAGAGGATTTATCGACAAGTGGAATTACACTCTTTTTTGTATTGCTTTGTTGAGTAGACGCTCACGGCCCACCTGGTGTTATGCCACCACCCACCATGAGATATGAGTTCTAAGGTCTCACTATAGTACAACGACTATCCCACGCTTCAAGCCGAAACGCATTACTGCTTCACGGCAGAAATAGGCAGGGTAGTGGTACCTACTCGTGTGGACTCATAAGACGTCTTGCCACCAGTAATTACGCAACTTATAATTTTGCGAGTTTGATTTTTATGGCACGATGTTATTCCTTCCCCGTGGAAGTTAGTCCTGAACAGTTGTTAAGTACGTATTTTATTAGAAAATGATGGTACCCGTCTGCGGGATTCGAACACCGTTGCATCGCTCGATACGAATGCACCGCTTATCCTTTAGGCCACGATGGCTTCAAAACCAATTAAAATATATTTTTAAGTAAATCTGTCACCGGTAACGGGACAGTCCTGACAACTTGAAACTGTAAAATCTTTATCTAAACTGTCTTTATCTAAATAAAACATGTGTTTCCTAATATCATTCAAATATATTGATTCCAACAGGGAATCAAACCCGGACCCTGTGATACAGCAACTAACAGGGTCCTTTATCAGTTACAGGTGTGCCAGCACCTAGTCAAAATGGCTGTAATAGAAACATTATGCATAATTTAAAATAATATAATATTATAAAACATTAACCTCCTTCCAATTTAAAAGTGACTGTATCATCATAGCCTGACGATAACGAGATCGCTCCATCGATCTCTAGACCGCTCGTTTCCGTGTAAACGCCTCTATAATATGCTTCACTGAATACAGGATGAATTATTTCTTGTCTTATAATATGTATTATGGCGCTCGTAGTCACCGAAATAGCTCGGTCTCTCGATGCTTCTATTTCTAGTACCAAGAAATCGTTTGCTTCCATCACTTGTGATGGTAATGGAGTTATTAAAGATACAGTTAGTGTATTTTCACGATTCGCTATTGCGAAATATGATTCGTATTCTGGAAAGTTTTGAAAATGAAAACATAGTTAAAATATATTCATTTCAAATATTATTCAAGAGTAAACAAATCGACGCTTGAAAAGCAAACATGACTAAGCGACAATAACTGCTTTGTACATAAATGATAGGCAATAACCATATTCGATGCGCAAAAAATATATATTTCTAGGTCTATTAAAATCATTTCAATCCTACAGCTACTAGCTAGATTCTACTACAGCTAGATTCGTTAAAAAAAAATTGTTTTCAGGTAATTCAACTTAAAATTAGTCTACTGTAAAGTTCACACATTGTCGCTTAGTCACGCTTGCCTTTCAAGCGTCGAAATATATTTGTGCTTTACTGGTGTGAAATACAAGTTAACTTGAATTATTTTATTTAGAAAAACATTTTGCGGTGTGATTGAAGGCATTGACTTTCACTGTTTTCTATTCTAATACAAGTAAGTCCTTTAGAAACACATTTAAAAAATGGTCATTAAATATCCTAGTATTCGTAAATATGTATGTTTTTTAATTACTTACCTCCAGTAAGTACAAATTGAGTATCATCAGCGTAACCGGTATCCAACACTATATTTTCAAGAGATAATCTTTCATTTTCCAAACTACCAACATATGTACTACGAGAGAACCTCATTACAGCAGAATCAGTCAGTTCTGAAAAGGATTGAATGATAATCAATAAAATTCAATTTGTGGCGCGATCATCATCCATCAAGACGTATTATGCGTGATCACGAAGTTCTAACGTTAGAAAATTGAATAATCTTTGAATCGGCCAAACGTGGAAATATTTATATTTACTTATTAAGAGATTTGTAAATAAAAATATGGAGGATTTGAACGTAGAGAATTGTAATTGCTTAGTTGAAGTACAGAAAAATTTTCAATGAAAATACAGTCATTTCAGATTTTCTTTAAACCTCTCTGGGGATGGTCAAAAAGATTAACAGTCTTAACCCAATAATCATCTGTTAATATTAACCTTTTCAGATACCGTTAAACTTTTTATGATTGTATGAAAATTAGAAAAAAAAATGGTTGTTATAACCTTTTTTTCTAAAGAATCGTACAATAGCGTTAGTAAAGTTAAACGTTCGTTATTCAGTGGCCCCAAGCTAGCGGGTTTCCCTATGCCATGGAAAACCCACATACGAGGCAAGAATAAGCTCTGACACTGTTAAATTACTACTGACTTCGACTCGAAATTTGATCTTTGGCAAAGTACCCAAGCTTTTTCAGTACTAGACCAACGAAGCCATCACAGGTAAAGTGCGCGAAGCGAAAGTGAAGTATTCATCAAGAAAATGTATCAAGTTCACAAGCTGAGGCAAAAAGGAATTGTTCATAAGGAAAATGTATCGAGTACTCAGACTGCAATACTTAATAATATAAAATTTGGCATAAATCATGAAAATACTTAACATCCAACGTTCAAGTAAATTTATGTAAAGAAAAACCTTTTTTATATAATTTGTATATGAAGCTTTTTAATTAAAAAAAATTATTTTTCTTGTATAGATTGACTGAACTCTCTGTCGTTGAGAAAAAAGAGGAGTTCAGTTTTATTTAATTTAACAATACTGTGTAAAATAATATTATAATTTGTGGAGAATAAAGGCTTTTAAAAATGTTGTTTTCTTAATATTGTACATACAGAAAACGCAATTAAGTCTTTTATTATTTTATTAAGTTCAATAGAATATTCCATATCATTATATTTATATGAATTACCTGCTGGAAATCTAATTAAAATCGCAGCATTAGCGCCCACAGTGAGTGCTTTGTTCGCAATAACATTGAACGAAAATACTTTTTCGCTGTAAATGACATCTGAGGGAATCTGCGAACGGAGCGACAGTACGACATTGTTCCCTATATTGCTGACCGCAAAGAATTGTGAATGTTCTGTAAAAAGAAAAGTAATTATTGTAGACCTCGTTACGTAGATTTAAATTAAATGGAATAACTTTTTTTATGAGTTTCCACACGTTAGTCCTACGCATGATTAAAATCAGTTTAATTGGTCCTAGCCTAAAGGTTAAGGTGCCCAGTACGAATATACGTACTTGTATTGAGAGATAGCTCTAGCGCTCAAACCTCACAGATAGGTACTATTATATCTAAACAAATACGTACATACTTATTAATACTCATAACAAAAATCTGGTAAATGGTATTTTAGACTTGTTTGGGTAGGTACCAGCTTCGCTGCGAAGTAATCATGTGTTGAAACATCTCGAGTTACTTTCAAAAAAGTAGCTGGCTTCAATAAAGTATAATTTCAATAAAGTATTGAAATTATTAATTTAATGTAGTTACTTTATTTAAAAATATATATTTGGACAATAGTTTAAACTGAGTCAAAACTACCAAATAATATTACAATTGATTTCTAAGCTTACGTACGCATCTTTGGTTATTCTCAAATTTACCTCCTTCAATCCTAAACGTTACAGTATCATCAAATCCCTGTACCAAATTTATATTCTCTATATCCAAGGTCTGGGTTCCAATATAAGAGCCATAGTAAATTTTTCTGCTAAATAAGGGCGTCGTTATGTCTTCCTTTATTATTTCCAGCAGTACGTTCGTTGTGGTTGTTACCGCATTTTGACCGGTCGCTTCGAGGGTCAATAAGATGAGACTGTTTGCCAAAATAACACTCTCCGGAAACGGCCGTAACAGGCTAAGTGCTACACGGTTTTGTACGTTCGACGTTGCGAAGTAGTCTTTGTATTCTGGAAACATAATATCGGGGAGGATGTTCATTTTTAGTATCTATTGGTGGAGGTTAGTCGTCACAAAATATGTATGTATGCTGAATAAAAATTTATGAAATACAAAATAATGTAAATAATTATTAATTCAATTTAAACTAATTTAGAAATACATGAAGTATTTAGAATTAGAAAGAAAATACAGCTTATAAAACAATATTAACTTTAATGTAGAGCAGATATAGCAAAAATGTATGTGGTAGGTGTTTAAAATATTAAACGACTTAAGTGTTTGTAATAATAATAACAATAATACTACCAGCATAAGCTGAGAAAATAAAAATTTAAAAAAAGAATAATAATAAAACAGCAAAAATAAACTCACCCCCTATAAGATTGAAGCTGACATCGTCTTGGTAACCGACACTCAATACAATTGTTTCAAGTGTTAAAATATTATCTTGCAACGTTCCCTTATAAGTAGACTCTTCGAAAATCAATTCTCTTGCTGTAGTGGGGAGACCATTGGAAAAAAAAAGCAAAGGAAAGGTCCTTCCTTAAGCCATTCGAGCCGAATAAACCAACTTCACTGAAGATTTATAGAGGTACAATAATACGAATAAAAGAGTTTGAAGGAGCAAATACAGGTTACGAGAAAAGCGACATAAGTAATAGCTCATAACAGAGAGTCATCTTTTTCGAGACATTGGCTTACCGTACACACTTGTAGGAGCTATGCTTCCTAATAAATAATGACTGTGGTTTTCGTTGTAGCTAGAGGAAGGTCGTAAATTAGCATTTTATTTCATTGTTTTTTATTACTGTAATGTATGAACGATATTTAAAGTCCTGAGAACTTTTATAAATTAAAAAAAAAAAAATTTTAAATCTGTAGACGTCATATAAATTTTGTTATATTATTATTATTATGGAATTCTAAAATTTATCTTTAAAAACTGGTAGCGATAATATCATTTATTTAGCAAATGTATGCTTAATTTTCTAAATTAACTTTATTATCACGTATACTATCAACACAATCCTAAAATAAATACATAAAAACAAAACTTTATAAATCAATTATCTTTCTTTAAAAATATACATGACGTCTTCTAATAACATAAATATAGAAAAACTTATCGAAATTTAATCAGTAGATAAAATGATTCATAATACAACATGATTGAATACAGTAATAAAAATAATGAAAGGTAAATTACCTTCAGGAAGATTGATAACAATTGCTGCATTCGCTCCAACAGTTCTTGGTTTAGTTGCTTCTAATGAGAGAATTAAATTCGATCGGCTATGTATTTCTACTGGTAACGCTGAAGAAGTAATCTTTATGATAGCACCGTCTCTTTCTACTTCAAACAATTCAGAGGAATCTACAATAAATGAATATAATATGAATATTTAATCAAATTATTTGTACAAAGCACTGGTGGTAGGACCTCTTGTGAGTCCTCACGGGTATGTACCACCACCCTGCCTATTTCTGCCGTGAAGCAGTAATGTGTTTCGGTTTGAAGGGTGGGGCAGCCGTCGTAACTATACTGAGAACTTAGAACTTATATCTCAAGGTGGGTGGCGCATTTACGTCGTAGATGTCTATGGGCTCCAGTAACCACTTAACACCAGGTGGGCTGTGAGCTCGTCCACCCACCTAAGCAATAAAAAAAAACCAGAACGTGTAGTTTTCGTAATGTACCTACATATGAACAAAATATATTATTATTATAGATATATGAATATTTTTTCTAAAATTGCGAAGTTGTTGTTTACTATTTTCAAATTATGATTTCAAAATTACCTCCATCTAATTTTAATGATACTGAATCATCATATCCTTGGACGAAATATATAGGCTCTATGTTTAGTCCATTGACGACGTCATAATTTCCCGTGTAAATTTTACTACTAAAAACTGGTGTCGTATTATCATCCTTTATAATTTCTAATGTAACAACTGCAGAGCCTAAGCCACGCTCTGCGGAAACTATGACTTCTAAATAAATAAAGTTGTTGTCTCGAATAATATTTTCTGTTAGAGGGGCCATTGTTATTGTCACAGAATTTCCTTGTACTGTAACGCTAAAGTATGATGCGTGTTCTGTAAAAAGAAAGAAAAGAAAAAATTGATATAAAGTAAAGGATGAATTAGCATGAATTCCCAGTTATTCTATTAGATATAGTTAATTTATATGAATAAGCGTAATTTTTATAATGCGATCATTATAATATTTTTTTGTTAGGAAATTATTAATTTTTATATTCGATGCATGATTAGAAATCCGCAAAATTCAAATGTCGAATATTGATGTGTTTACTTAACTTACCGCCAATAACTCGAGCGGAAATGGACCCTTCAAAGCCTTGTATTAGTGTCAGCTGTGACAGCCGTAAGATGTTGTTCTCGATCTGTCCACTATAGTGAGCCCTTTCAAATTCCAAATTCACTTCTGTAAAATATTAATGATGTAACTTTTCATATTTCTTCGAGTAAATTTAACAGTTAACCAGTAAAGCGTTGTTAAAAGTTTCGGTAAAACTTTAAGTGACAGAAGTTTAATTTATTTTCTGTGGTTTCCACGATTCGTAGCTATCATTTGGGAAAACAACTTGGGGCCGCATTTATGACGTTTAGAATGCTTTAGAACTTTAATTTTTCTAACATCCGTGATCACAAGGAAGATTTAAGTTGTAAAGCACTAGGTACTCATTTAGTTTGTACAATAAACATTTAGATATCTGAAATAAAAACGTAAAGTAAAGACGCGTAAAAGTAATGACTAGAAATTAAATTAAAAATGGCATTTACACCGTGATCTTCTATAATTACCTATTTCATATAGTGTTTTCCAATTACAATCTGACTGCAGGCTTTTCGATAATATTTGTTTTTTTTGTTTGAGCTATCCATTACATTTTCATTAAAATTATCTATTTATATATTTCAAAACAATGATGTATATTTTATATTTATAGTTTCCACTCATTATATCTTTTAATTTATATAAATTTTTCTTTGTTTGTAAATTATAATTCAGTAGCAAAAACTAGTTCGGGCCGGTTAGTTTCCTGAGTTTTGTCAGCTTATTGAAAGATTACTTTTTAATATTATTAATGAATTAAAACTCAAATCCTTATAAATTCTTAGGATTTGATTTTATTAAAACCAAATAAAAATAATGTTTCACACTCATTCTTTTGAGAGTTGATATTATAATTTATGCTCGGCGCGTTCATTTCGAAAATTGACATTTCTGCCTCTCTTATTGCCTTTTTGAAAACGTTCATACCAATTAAATACTATGATGTTGTTCAAAATGGTTCTTTTTTGTGGTGCTAATGAGCTCCACTCGCCACTAACTGTACCAGATGGGTCTTAAAATCGCTTGTCTAGAACCGTGATCAAAATGTATTTATCCTAAGAACATACAACTAACCATATCTTTACGTATTGATGTTATCTTTGTTAATATGATAGATATTGAAAAGAGAGGCTTCCTAGTATTTTACGATTCACACGTTTAACCAATAGGTATGTAATTCAATACTCCAAAATAGTATTCATATTAGTATTCATATTTAACACAAGATTTTCAGGAATGAAATAGAAAAAAAAGGGGTAAAATATTATCATTTAACAGTTAATATTATAAAATAAATATTATTTTACCTTCAGGTAATTGCACTATGACCGTGGCTGATGCTCCGCTCGTATATTCCCTTTCGGCTTTGACAATCAGTAAAATTTGACTCACGTCTATATTAGATAGTGGTGTTCTAACAGTTAAAGTTATTTGGTTACCGTTTTGGTTCAATTGGAAATTAGTTGCGTAATCTAAAAAATAAGGAGCAAAGATACGAATAATTTTATTTTAATCATTAGAAAATAATAATAATAATAATAATAAATAAATATTTACTAACAATCACGCCACGTTAACTGGTCCCGTGATAAGTTCGTAAAGAACTTGTGTTACAGGTACCAGATAACGGATATAAATGTAAGATTTTATTATACACATACATATATTCAATATACATCCATAACCCTGGAAAATACATTTATATTTATCATACAAATATCTTCCCTTGGCGAGATTCGAACCCGCGACCCCCTTGTGTAGTGACCATGTCACTTACCACTACACCAGACGGCCGTTTAAAAATACATAGTACGTTCCAAAAATATATATTAAAAAAAAAAGAAATGAAAATGTACATTATGTCAACTTGAACATGCCCACGACTTTCATGTAATTTGGTTTGCAAGAACTAAATTAAGGCAGTTCGAATAAATCTCTCAACACATACTTTGCGTTAAGTAGAAAAATGAACTCATTCCACAGAAAGAACATTTTCCTCGCTGAAAAGGTCAAAAATATGTGTCCAAAGTAAGTTTAATTTTAACTTGCCTTGTGTTTTGATAAAGATTATATGCTTTGGGGTAACCAAAATAGATTCTCGAGGTGGATTTTGTGGCCCAGCTTCTACTATGTATGTATCATAAACATGAAAGCTTGTGAGGATGGATGGAATATCTTTTACTGATTAGCGGAAAACAGATTTAGATGAAATTACGCATTAAGATAGTTTATGACTTGGATTGATCCATAGAATACTTTAACACCGTAAATAATATGATCCGGACAGCGCCGGGTAAATCTGCTATACGACGGCGCGTTCGCTTGTTCGCGATTTTAGTACCAAAAGAATCCACAAACAGACTAGTGGTTTATGGACCATAAAGTGACGCAAACAACTCTTTATTTCGAGAAAATGCGAGGTGGTTTTTTTCATAAATTCTTCGTCTAGTTTGAAATAGAGCGTTAATTCAATTTAAACTCACCACCGTCTAGAGAAAACTGGACTTGGTCATCGAAGCCTTGTCTCAAAGATATAGCATCATGTGTAATTTTCCCTTCATCGTAATTCGCCAAATAAAATGCTCGAGAGAATACCGGTTCCTCAGGGAATTCGAATTCTGGATCACTCTTGATATGCACCGTGGCGTATGTTGTTCTGGGAGGGTCTCCAGTCAAATCTACGTCCTGTAAATTATTTATACATATTAATTACATTTTACTTGCTTCTATATTATATTCTGGCTATTTATAGTTTGGACCCAATGTGCAGTCTACTAATGTGAGCCCATAATTCTTAATGTTGGTAATGTGATATTGTAAATGCGTCTACGACACTTTCTGTACGTATGTCTTTCCTTTATAATAAATTAATAAAACGATGCAGGAAATGTCTCATTTGCCTACTTGCAATAAAAAATGAAGCCTTATTTATTGGCCGTTTCGGTCAAATGGTTTCCTAGTAAGATATATTATTAAAAAAACATATTACGAGAACTGAATTCGAATCCCGGTCGGTTTCAGTCCCTTTACGAAAGATATTCCATGAAATCGATAAAAAGTATTCGGGGTCTTGTTTCTTTTCTTCATAATAAAGAAGACGGGTAGACGTTCTAATCTTTTCACTATTGCTAATCTTTTAAACATTAAGATTTTATTTAAATTCCATAATATTAGAAATGTATTTAAAACAAGTCAAATAAACTTTGATTGACATAGTTGTTACCCAATTCGTTTGTGTTCAAAAATCCGTAGACCCATTATTACGAAGATTAATAAATTATTACGGGATAGTATATTTCTTGGTCAATGTCACGACTATGATTGAACGTTGATGAATATTTAAACAGATCAGGATAACATTTCGTTTCTTTTGTAAGGTAAGTAATAGTTTCCTTACTACGAACAATAGGAAATTTTAATATAGTTTAAGGGGAATGTGTTTCTTTTAACAACCTTCCCACAAAGTTTTCTTTGATGATTTTTTGATAGGCTATCCGTTTTTTCATGTTTGAAATACTTCCGAGAAATACCTCTGTTACGTGTTCAATAAAGTCCGAAAATTGAAAACAATTACTTGTTATTGTTTTTGGTCTACTTTCGGCTTAATAAAAAAAGACAAAATCTTAAATCTAGTTTTTGCTTTTAATTGAAAATTGGCTTTTAAAAAAATATAAATAGAACACTCACCGTTGCGCTAATTTGAAGTGTGAGAAGTTCAGGTATCGTTCTAATGAAGGTTTTAGTTCTTAGAACGGCCTTAAATTCTTTTGGTGTTGTGGAAAGCGAGGAATCATATGCGATGTCAATATATGGATTTTCTTCGATTCCGAAATCTATTCTTTGCGTTGTAAGGTCTATGTCTCTGACGACAATGTTATTGAAGCAGCCCGTTACAAGGAAGCCGGGAGCGAGAGGTGTCGTTATAACGTATTCAAATATGTCATTTGGCCTGAACTGTGGTGCATTGTTATTAGTATCGATCACGTTTATCAAAAACACCTGTAAATGGATTATCGTCAATAAGTTTTACGAGGGTCGATAACACTAATAGTAATTACAAGTGTTTTATAGGGATTGTTACAATTCAACTGACATTTACATATGCACTATAATACAGACATATCGGTTTTAATTAAACTATACCTTATATAGGATCGTGAGGTTTTTCAATGATTTTTTGAAGGAATTAAAATTTTAAGTGCAGTTCGCGTGTATTTTTGCACAAGCTGAAAACTGAATACGTTCGTTTTTTTTTAAATGTGAGTAACTGTGTGTGAGATTTACTGTTCAGTATTTTCAATTTAAAGTTATTTAACACAATAATCAGTTAGCACAATACAGTAAAAGCTCATTATTCGCGCCTCCTCCAGTCATGTTTTCACTATTCACGGTTTTTGTATTCGCAACATATAAGGAACATAATATATAACCAGTGAATAAAGAGCTTTTACTGTACTAGAAGATGACCGAGCTTTGCCCGGTTTTTTTTGATAACGCCATCTTGTTGTGTCTTTAAAGCGGTTAGTTGCCCTCAATTAAGAAAAATAGTATTATTATTCGCCAATAGATGTTGGGAAGAGTTGATTATTGAAAACACGAATAAAACTACATTTTCTGAAAATAAATCGTAGCTAGATCGATTTATCGCCCCCGAAATTCCCTGTATACTAAATATTATGAAAATCGTTGGAGCCGTTTCCGAGATTCAGATTATATTGTGTATATATATATACACTAGAATTATTCGTTTAAAGGTATAAGATTCAAACGTCGCGTTTGTTGTCGTTTGATTTCATTGAATTTGACGCATTGGTCGTTCAAGACCACTAAAACTGTAAAATATCCGAAAGCTCGGAAGTAATATAATGAAAATTAAAAAACCACGTGACTATGTTTCGTGAAAACCGTAAATCTTTATTATTGCCTAGATTGATGGAAGAGCTCATCAACAACGTAACTTTCACCACCCACTTCGTGACGTGAGTTTTTAAGCCTCCGTTTTTATAGTACAGCGGCTGCCAGACTCTTCATAACGAAGCTCTTTACTGTTTCACGGACGAAATATTCAGGATGGTGGTTCCTACCCGTGCGGCCTCACAAGAAGCCCAATACAATATAGATTATATTAATTTATCCAAATTATAATTACGAACCAGAGTATTGGTTGTGCCTCCGGTACATCTGAATGTCACGGTCATTGACATTGACTGGGCGACTTCGTTCTCCTCGTAGTTTCTATAAGCATCGTTAACCCACATTTGGAATCGGTTCTGAGCGTGGGAAACTTCTAAGTAGGGTCCAGCGTTTAAGCCCTCGCCGTACCTTATTGTGGTGATGTCTTGAACAAAATTGCGTCGTAAAACATTGAGACAATAAATAAAGAGTTTCATATTACGTACTTAATTAAAACATTGTTACTGTCGGTAGCGTTTATTGGTAGCTCGCATCGCAAGTGTCATCCTCCTATCTATTTTTCCCGCGGAGTAGGCATACATTTCGATTTGAAGGCTAGGGTAGTCGTTGTAGAAATTAATACATGTCTTTAGGTCGGTCGGTTTCTGATGTCTATGGATCTCGACAGCCTTTTATACCAGAAGGGCTATAGCCACCAAGCTAGTAACATACAAAAAGGTTAGGACATGCTGTGAGTCTGTACACGTTGCTACTATTGGAATAGTCGTTTCTACAGTAAAATGATCACATTCTAAGGAGAAGCAAAAGGGACTTCGATTTCAAATTTTCCAGTAGGCACTGGTTTTCGACTAGCCATAAAATCGTTTAACAATTCATTGAAATTATAAAAAAAAATATTGGTCGATAAGTTTAATTTTAAAATTTAAAGTATTCCTTTGGTGATTTTCTTCAACTTCATTCTGTTAATTTTGTGTCACGGTGCGCGCGCATCGTAAAATTTCACTCTCATCAATTTTTCATAGCGCGCCTAAAGAAGTATAACTTCAAAAAACTAAACGATACTCAATAAAATCTGGTGACCAATCAAAGTGAATTTAGTAGGACCTGACACAAATTAAAATGAACTTACATTATCGTTAGTTATTTACCTTCGATGTCAGTTGTGCCTCTGTCGAGCACGTATCCAGTGTGTGTATCTAAGATACTTTCAGACACTGGAATCGGCCACATAATAACTCCATCCATTTGACATCCTAAAATTGAAATAATTTTAAACTAATGTAATAACTAGCACTGACTCTATGTGAAATTGATTAAACATTTGTAAAACCTAAAGAGTATGATACTTTATTTATAATTTTCTAATCGCTCTTTGAGATTTCTGAGACCTTATTGTATTTGTCACAATCACATCACAAGATATTTTTAATATTACCCCTTAAATGGAACAACGTACATATATGCTGTAATTTTTCAAGCCGCACACAAACCCGAGATCAAATTTTCGGCTTTACGTGTATTGTAGGTTTTTTGAACGGGCAATTTCTACGAAAATATTGCATAGACCTTTTTCTTCCGTGCATATTGTTTAAAAAGTAGTACACCGTAAGAAAATATTTTACTGCTTTACGCGTGTATCATCATCAAATTTGTTTAAAAAAATATATGTAACCTTGTTTATGTTATTCTTTATTGCTTAGATGGGTAGATGAGCTCACAGCCCACCTGGTGTTAAGTGGTTACTGGAGCCCATAGACATCCACAATGTAAATGGGCCACCCGCCTTGAGATTTAAGTTCTAAGGTCTCAGTATAGTTACAACGACTGCCCCACCCTTCAAACCGAAACGCATTCTATTGCACGGCAGAACTATATAGGCAAGGATGGTAGCACCTACTCGCGCGGACTCACAAGAGGTCCTACCACCAGTTCGCATGTATCCAGTTTGTTTAAAAAAAACAAATGTTAACTTGTAAAAGAAAGTAAATGCTTAAAGTATTATCCTCATTATCTGTTTTAGTGCACTAAACTACATTACCGTTCAATTATCAAAGCCATTCATAGTCGATAACAATGAATTTATCTAACATTCGCTTATCAGATGATTGCTCGTCCTTTCTCTTATAAAACTGAACAGAAATTGCGTTTTGACGAGTTTTACATTCTATTAATATGTTTGCGAAAAGTTTTAGTTCTCTTAATTTAAAATAAGATACCTATAATTTAGGTATTAACACATTCTTTGAAATTCGAAATTGAATTGTTTAGATATAAGCTTATTCTTTAATACTAATGCAAAAGGCCGTGGAAATTATAATCGAAATATATTTTAAAATGTTCAAGCAATTGGATGTGATGCAAAACTAAATAACTACATATGAATTGACTGTCTCTTGGGCTAAGTACTGTATCCGGGCTTAACTGATATAGTATTAGGTATACTTGGTTGTCTCGTTCGTGTTTCTTGTAAAAAATAAAATAAAAAATAACCCACAACGCAGGAAACAATTTTAGCGCGGGGCCTTTAAATTTAAAACGTTTTTATACTATTACTAGCTGACCCGGCAGACTTCGTAGTGCCTCAATCGATAAATAAAAGACCTAAACTTTTGTATAAAATAAGCTTAAAACAAACAAAAGGAATCCGGCCGACGGGGGACACATCAAAGGAAAAACAAAACTGTTATTTTTATTGAATTCCGAGTATTTTCATATTTATCTACCTTTTAAACCTTCTCTGGACTTCCACAAATAATTTAAGACCAAAATTAGCCAAATCGGTCCAGCCGTTCCCGAGTTTTAGCGAGACTAACGAGCAGCAATTCATTTTTAATAATAGTATGTATATATAATACTATTATTAAATTAATAAACATAATAAATCCGGATATACATACAAAACCGAAGTCATGAGCTCATTACAATGACGTAGTCTGTGATAATAAGCGCTTATCAAAAATGCTTAGTTAATATTTTTTCAATAACTGCTTCACAGGAAGTATTGCTTCCTTGTTTTCCTATCGTTTCACTGTGATTAAATTAGTTTGAAAATTCCTTCAATTAAATAGGAAGACTTTATGAAGAAAAAAACCTCAATTTCAAAACAATTTCAAACTTCAGTTTCGAATATTTAAAAATAGGTTCAAATAAACATTAGTTGGTCTTACCATGGGTTGTTTTAATTGATGAAACAATTGTCAATACAAAGAGAAAGTACATCCACCAAATATATTCACTTGTTTTTCGAGCCATTGTTTCGTATTCACATCCCTAAAACGCAATGAAGCAATGAATTTCGATTTGTATGTCGTATACTGATATCACATTCCAATTAACTTACCTACAACAATTACAGATTAACCAAAACATATAATTCGAACTAAAATATTTATAATACAATCCTAATGCCGAATTAAGCTTAACAATTAAAAAAAATAGATTGAAATTCGACAAAACACGTCGAATTCAAAAAAATACGCACACAAAACTGTGAATATCGCCGAAATTCGTAAAGATTAACATACACATATCAATCGATTGATATCTTTGCGAGGAAATATTGTGATACTATTATCTTATATCTGATAAAATTTCAGACGTTGCTCAAAATAATAATATATATTTCCGCTAAGCATGATTAATTTGGAAAAGTCCTTTACGAGGTTCCGTTCTATGTTTGAACTATAGTAGTACTTGACTATGAATATTGAGCTAACTTCTAAACATCAAAGTTTATGGGACACGTGGGCTTAATGTTATATCAACAGTGTTAAGTACACGTCTGGCTTGCGTCAACTTCACCAAACTTCTCTTGTGTTTCATTAATTTTCGCTATGGAATTAATTTGCTGAAATTATTGAAAAGTTGTTCAGAAATAGAACTTAATATTAATTCTAATTGAATAATAAACGAATAAATTTTTAAGATGCAACTTCCTATTTTTTAATATTTCAGTTTCGTTATTTTTTTTATTTAAGCCTCATGTTTCAGAGTCATTCACGTTGTGTGTTTATGGACTCCAGAAACCGCTTAAAACTACATGTGCTCTGAGTTCGTTTACCTATCTACGCAATAAATAAACAAAAAATAAGCTATCGGTCCACTTTGGTTGTAAACAATATTGACAGAAAGTGAATAAAAGTGAAAATATTAAAGTAGTAAAAGTGAAGAAACCCTTTTTTTATGTGAAACATCTATAGCCGCACGTAAAACCGATTTCTGGCGTGGCAACGCATGCTATGGCGACGCGTCGCCGCGCTATATGATGGTATATATATACAGTCTACATGCAGTAGTGTGTACGGTGTGGCGACGCGTCGCCATGCACAATCGACTGTGCGATTCTCTCCCACTCGATCCGGCGTTAAGCCATCTCTCTCGCTACACTGAGCCTATAGTGTATACTCTGTAGTGTATACAGTGTTGTTTACTACAGTACACATAACCTGTGTTTTACTTGAAAACAAATTATTTTTTCGTAATATTTTATTTTATCATTATGACGTATTTAGTTCCTATCACAATCTGTTCTTTTCTGCATATTACTTTTACAAAATAATGTCGATGTTTCACATCTGTCAGGCGTCCCGTGACGGCTCACATTTTTTTGTTATTTGAATTGTTTCCAAATTTTGAAATAGCCTAATCGCGAATTCGAACCTCCTGAAAATTTTCGTAGATATCATTACAAATTCTAGGCCTCCTCACATGAACTGGGAAACTCGAAGAAGTAAGAATTTTCAGGATTTTCAATTCAATTTACTAAATTTTTCTATTAAATATTCAAAAAGCATGAACTTGCAACTATTATGAAATTTAAAAACACAAACTTTTCGAGTATTTTACTCTTCTTCATGTGCCTATCGATGTATTATTGTCTACAGTTATTATTACATCGATTATTCAGAGCCAAGTGTTTTAGGGACTTTTTGTTTCGTTTATGACCTAATTTAATGATAAATGAAGAAGTTATTGACTTAAAAGAGATAATAACAAGATCCCTCCCTGTGCGTCAGATTAGAATTTTAAGTACTTTGGATTCGTGCAATCGGAATGTTGCGAGAAATATTTTAGGTAGGACGTTCGGGGGTTGTATAAACTATTTAATGTTTAATTCATTTTGGAATAGAATAAAGAAAATAGAGTTATAGAAGAAGGATATTCTTGTTGAAAAAGTGAAAGGACGTATGTTTTTTTTTTTAATTTAAAAATCGTGTATTTTTTACTTAAAACGCAGCTACGCTCGTATCCCGAAGCTAACTTTTTGGGAATCTTAAAAAGGTTTAACAGAGTCATTCCAAGTGATAGTAGTATTTTAGAATTCAAATGTATCAAAGCTAATGCCAGTTTCGGTGATGGTTCGTAATAGTTCGAACAATGTTATTACTTCACAAAATCGTAAGCACAAGTTCACGATTAATTACTCGTAAGTTTAAATTTTTTTTTCCGTTCTATTTCGAGGTAGTCTATTCATTAAGAAAATTATCATGATTCGGTCTGGTCGTTTCAATTAGAAAAGTTGAAGGAGTAAAATTCAATTCTGAAATAAGTTCATTTTTTGAATTACAATTTTTTTGTTTACGCAAAGTTATGGAACAAATTTTCCCTTTGAAAATGTATTTTTCTTTTTCGGAACGGAAGAACCACAAAAGCGGGTATTCGATTAAATGAATGAGGGCTACAAAATGAAACAAAACCACTATGTAATGCGTGTAAACTTAGTTTTTGTTTATTGTATTAATGTTTTTTCTTTTTTAGTTCATTGGCTTAATGCCAGGTATCGACGGTTGTATAATCATGATTCTGCTCCATACTGTCTTGAGGCTTACGATTTACTGATACGTTTAAAGCCAGAAGCTGTTGTATAGGAAGGCGTGGCGAAAGGTTCACCATACTGGCCCACTGCCCGGCGCAAAGTTCTGGAAATTTTAACTTTTTCAGGAAATGCCCTTCCAAATACCAGGGCGATACACACGTTGGGGAGTAATCCCAGATCTTCATTTCATTCAAACGAACCCACCTGCAACGAGAACAAATGAGCTTCGTTAGGATAACAAAGATTATAATAATAATAATAATAATAAAGCCTGTTTATTTCCAATCCATAATGATAATATATTACATGCGATTTAATATCTAAATATACTAGGGTAGAATTTCTTTAATTTTCTTTTATTCGCTAACGTTGCTTTCTCCTGTATCAATGATCGGAACCCCTTCTCGGGTAAAGGCCTCCTCCAGCTTCTTTGTCACTTTGTCCATGGCTTTCCTTATCCAATCGCTTCCTGCTATCGCTTTTATATCGTCTATCCATCTTTTTCTAGGGCGCCCTCTTCTTCTTTTTCCTCTTGGTCCTTTCCACATAGTTGTCTGTAATGTCCATCTTTTGTCTGTGCGTCTTGCTATATGTCCTGCCCACTGCCATTTCTGTTTTAAAGCATATTGTAAGGCATCTATANCCACTAACAAAGGATAAGAGTGTCGGCCTAGGTTTGTTACCTTTGATTTCTTTCCCTATACGATAAATCTTGTTTATTTCACAATCTTGAATATTTATATTTAATGTTTTCAAAAATACTTCCTTAGTATTTTTAAGCAGTTGCTCTGTAGTCTTTTCTCCCTCTTTCAGCCCGTGGACTATTATATTGTTGTTTTTTTCTCTCTCTAAAGTTTCTATCTTTTTTTCCAAAAGCTCAACTTTAATTCTTAATTTTTTGTTTTCTTCTATCACAGGTTCTAATTTTTCGCCAATTTTTTCCATAATAGTACCTGTTATAGAATCTGATTGGTTCTTCAATTTGACAAAGATTATGGCTAGATTAATCAAACGATTGTGATGAACGTTTTATTTGGACCCGGAAAATAATAATTTGCGTAATTACTGGTGGTAGGACCTCTTGTGAGTCCGCACGGGTAGGTACCACGACCCTGCCTGTTTCCGCCGTGAAGCAGTAATGCGTTTCGGTTTGAAGGGTGGGGCAGCCGTTGTAACTATACTGAGACCTTAGAACTCATATCTCAAGGTGGGTGGCGCATTTACGTTGTAGATGTCTATGGGCTCCAGTAACCACTTAGCGCCAGGTGGGCTGTGAGCTCGTCCACCCATCTAAGCAATAAAAAAAAAAGGTTCGTTTTCTTTGAATCGAAAGGTAAACTAAAGCCTGCTAAATATATGAAAAATTACAAAAAAAAATGTATTCATGTTCATAACGCAACTTCATTTCACGTTTGTTGAGGTTGAGACTACTTGATCATTTTTTACATGACATTAGGGGAAAAATGTTTTTTTTTTGTTATTTGACAAAAACTCCTTTACAATATAACATGTTAAATAATGTTGGCACGAAAATGAGGAACAATTAATTACGTCTGAAACAGCGACTCAAATTCTAGGCCAAAGTAAATGTCCGTCCTATTTACTTTGAGGACAATAAAAGGTGACAAGTTGTACTTTTAATATCCTCAAAGTAGCTGCTTCTTTACGCGCTTACTATGGAAATTGTTTAAGGGCAAGTATCAATCAAACAGCAAACGGATACAATTGCGTAATAAAATAATTAAAGTATTGAAACATATTTCGATTTACGTCTTGTCAATATATCTTAATATATCTTAATATATCTCAATATATCTAAATCGAAATATTTTTCCCACAATTAGTTAAAATTTCGTAATTTAATAACTTGCCAAATAAATTCGCAAAGAAATATTTTCTGTGAACGGGTATTTTACAATTTTTCTATTATCGAATTTAGGTCTAAGTTTCTGTATATCAGTGTTATTTGAAGAGAAACCTACGCTGAAATATAGAGAGCATGGCAGTCGCAGTGCCAAGGATTTCCAGATAATTTTACGATCGTAAGCTTCGGCATGTAATCCAGGGTGCGAGATGGCAGCGAAGGAAACATATTACCATCCAAGTATCTGAAATGTAAAAGAAACATTATTGGCATTATTACATTTTCGTGTCAAGGTATTAGCTAAATAAATAACAATTCTTGATAGCTTCACGGCTGAAGTATCTAGTAATTATTTGATTGAGGCTTAAAGTCTTAGTGTCTATTCAAATTTTATTCTGATATCTTAACGCCATGATTACATCTGACGTCATAGCTCGTTTATGAAGCCGTTAAAAATAGGTAAGGTTTTAGCATCTTTAAAATAAAATAAATGTTTCAATACTTGAACTCACAATGTTGTCAGATTCTTCAGCATAGAAAACGCTTTGAAATGTACTTCATATAATTTGTTTTCGGATAAAAGTAGCGTAGTAAGATTTTCTAGACCGTAAAAAGCAGTTATATTTATAAAGCGTAGTTTATTTTTAGATAAATCAAGTTTCTCCAAGTTGAAACAGTCAGAAAATGTGTTGTCAGGTATTTGGCTTAAAGCGTTTTCCTTCAAATCTAAATTACGTAATAATTTCAGGTTTTCAAATTCAACCCCAGCCAACTGAAATTTATAAGACGTAAGACGTGAATATTAATGAGACTTACAATAACAATGATTTTACTATTCACACTTACACTCATCAAATTATTATTGGACAGATCTAAGAAAATCAAACATTTCAGATTATTAAATAATTGTGTCGGAATATTTTTTAATTTATTCCGATCTAATAATAAAGTTTCTAAGGACAACAAGTTCTCAAAGGCGTTGTCACTAATGTTGTTTATCTTATTGTCCGACAGTTTCAAGATCTGGAGGTTCTTCAGCGAAAACGTTCCGTTTTGGATATTTTGTATTTTGTTTTTCGATAAATCGAGTATTTGTAGAGAATCCAATCCTAAGAAACTATCTGATGGAACGTATACAACCCGGTTATTTGAGATATCGATGGTTTCAAGAAATGTATTGTTGGCAAATAGCTTTTCTGGTAGTGTATACAAATAATTGTTGGACAAATCCACGTGGAAAAGTTTTTTTGTTGACGTAAACGCTTCGCTATCAATTTCTTCTAAATAATTTCTCTGTAGACGCCTAAAAAAAAATTGGGAATTTTATTTACTGACAAAACATTCTGTTTCTCACTATCTTTAACTTACTTTTTACCTTAATGTATTTTTGATACTTACAGGGTTTTCAAGTTCACAAGAGATTCGAATATTCCTCCCGGCAAATATTCGACGTGATTGTCGAACATATCTAGTTCAGTTAGCGCACGCATTCCTTTAAATGTGGTCTTGTGTAGGGTGCGTAGCTTATTTGACCCCAAATCTCTGAAATGTTTTAATACTGCCAATGCTAACCAAAATACTTGTGTTGGTTATATTCAAATTTTCATAATAATACACATTATAATAGATAGCTTTCGTATGAGATAATAAAAACCAAGGAAATTGAGATTACTCTTGTCTGTCCAACAAAAAAAATATTTCGGAGGTCACGAAAATATTTGTTTTGGCAAATCGTTGTAAGAGCATTAATTATAATGGAAGTTAGCCAACCACGTACAATTTCGACTTAGCACTAAAAGTAACAAAACAAAGAGATCGTAAAATACCAAACAATATAGTATAAACGTGGTGAATTTCAAGATTAAAATTTAATGCGTTCAGTTGGGGTGGTGTAAGATAAATACATATTTTATTACTCAATGAAAACCAAAGAGTAATCTGCAAACCGATTTTTGCGGTTTCATGAATGAGAATATTAAAATTGAATATCCTATAGAATTACTCAACAAAATAAAAACACACACACACACAACAACTCTAGCATTACGATTCGTCTTAAAATCTTAAGCCCAGACCTAGATGTTTCGGCATGGCATTCGATTATCTAAATAACTTGAAAATAGAACGTAAACATTGTAATAAAAACTAATGACATGCAAATTTAATAGAATGATGTTGAAACTGACATGGTGAGAAGATCAGCGGGCGCGGTCAAGTCCCCAGTGAGTGCAGTCAGGCCGGCCCTCCAACAGTTGAGTGACCGTCGGGCCGCGTCGCATCTACACATAGTTTTAGCGCATTGGCGCCATCGTGACTGTCCGAAACTCACTGTCCATGCTGTAAAGTTTGTTAAGAAGTTTTATTAAGTTATACAGATTATTATTTACGAATGGACCTGTACGGTTACCGGGAGCATAGACGTCATAGAAGGTAAGCACTGTTCACAATATTTTCATCAAATAGACGATTGAAACCTGACACCGTTCACGGGTCCTACTACAAAATTTATAGCATCCATTTATTTTAATAAACCTCCACCTCCACGCCATTTTTCGTATGTCGATGTTACTACGTATAAGCAAATTTTTCCTCGATGGACCCACAATAATAACTTAAAAGTTTCAACTCAATTGGATATATGATATGCCAGCGTGTAAATAACAAACAAACCCACAAATATTTTTATATTTCAGACTAGATAACAAATAATTTGATTGCATAGACAAAGCATTAGAATATTTATCAGCGCGATAAATCTTACGTCATTAGATATCGTAATGAACAAACAATATAACTAGATTAAGAATTCCGTCGAATTTTTTTAACATCCAGTAGCTATTTCGAATACCAATGTAATCAGTTATTCTAAGAGCTCAATTAAAGTGTTTATGGCACAATAAAGAAAGAAATGTTTACTATACAGTCGTTGATGTCGGTATTTTAATGTTTCTCCTGCTAAAAATGTTAGAGCAAAACATTCTTTTTTACTTTATAAATAAAACAAGATATTGTTTGCTTGTAGCTTTTTTACTTTTGTTGCAACACTACAGGATCTACATACATGTAGGAACGGTATTATAAATATCTTTTGTAAATTTACTGAACTAGTTCTCTATAAGAAATTAAGAGAGGTCATCAGTTAAAAAAAATTCGTCTTGAAGCTGGTGAAAACTATTTTAAAAGATTCTGTTATCTGAAATATCTTTGTAGACACCGGTCAAGCTTCTAAATGCGTGTTAAAAATGTTATATCAGTACGTAGAAAGTGCATAAAAAAATACATTTTCGCAATTTAATCTACTGTAGTAAAATACTTTTCCGCTTACTTGATTGTTCAATGGCGCGGAGTCGTCTATCTAGTTGTCGCCAGTGAATGTCAGTAGTGCATCCCGGTACGTGCGGCTCATTACCGGCTTGACGCCCGTGTGTCAAAATATCGAAAATCTCACATGCATTCAATGAGCATTGGTCATCCGTTGTTGAAATACCTGCAAAATACTAAATATGAGTAGAATTGCGAATAAGCTATTGTAGGTAGTAGGTAGTGGAAGTAGTGGTAGATCTGCAGTCGAGTTTAAACGCCCAAACGGTTTGAAAAAGTTACCGGTTCCTATAAATACCACGAAACGTATAGGTACGCGCTAATTGAGATAGGTAGTAAAAGTTCTTTGTTAAATTATGCATTGATGTTATTAGTAAGTTAGATGCAAATGTAGAGAATTTATTAGACACGATGAGAAGAGGTATGAGGTATAATTACTAAATAACAAAGAAAAGATAGGAATTATCACCTTATTACAAGTCAGATATTCCTACTTATTTAAACATTCCAAATTCAGGGGATACAAATTAAAACTAACCCTGTATTGTGGGTATATTAAATGATCAAACTATGTTCTGACGAGAATTATAAATACACAAAACAATACACTTTTTGTTTGAAAACATGACTCGGCGGTACACAACATGATTAATTCAAACATAAAAATTAGATTTCTTTCCCTGAAAACGTAATTGTTTGTAAGGAAATGTATAGCTTTACCGATATTTACTAAGCATAGCGTGATTATGATGCACACACACTGACTTTCCTGTTCATATTCTTGGCTTGGCAGTTTTTACTGGGACTTATTTCCGTTTCGAATGATCTATCAGAAAAGTAATTTATCATTTTCACTGTATTCCCCCGGAAAACATTTCTCTAAATACAGTCGCTTCATCCTGACGGCTGGAGTAAACGGCCATGCTGCATATTGTGCGTACAATTTGCCACAAATCTCGCTCCAACTTCGACGATTAAGTTAGAATAAAGCGATTTATTTCGGAACAGCTTTATTTATTATAAGTACAGGCCTCAAAGTATGCGTCTCTCGTGAATTAGAAATAATTTAATATCAAGGGCATACTTAAATGTTTTGTGCTTTAATTAATACTAGAGGTCCCGCAGTAGTCGAAATTCGACTATAATTAATTGGAATTGTAAGTTTATACACTATTATGATTGTATTTTATACTTCTATAATCACGAATTTCGCCAAGGCTACACTATAAAAAATATTAAGAAAGACAAACAATATTTAATCTATTCTCAATTTGACCACAGACGTTAAGAACAAAAGTTTGACAATAAATAGTATGCATGCGTGTGTGCGTCAAATACATGGTATGTAGTGTGTGTAATGTTTTCTTTATTGATTTAATGTATCTTTTAAGCATTATTTAAAAAAATATTAGCCTTGTGCACTTCTTCTCTATATTCTCTATAAGTGTAGAAAATTTCATACTCCTCCGTCCGCGCAATGTTCGTAAAAAGGGATACAAAGTTTTTGCTTCACCTATTAATATATAGATTTATAACAACAGCGTAAAATTCTGATTTATACTAATTCAACTAATATAGAAACCAAACCAAGATTAATGATTTAACACAGGATATCAAATTCTCATCCAGTACCACTCTGGGTATTTCACTTAGTAATAACTCAATATATATTCTTCATTATGAAGCCAAATGATCCCCAGTCGACAATGAAGCCATCCTTGCTTGGGTCCGTAATTAGCACTATCATGCTGAAATTGCGGACGAGAACAGATGACGTCGAAAGATACTATAGCTATATATAGTATAGTTATGGTATATGGTTAGCATCTGTTTACTACTTGAATACAATGAACTCGAAGGATAAAGTGCTTCTAGCTGACATAATCTAATCATACTAGTACTCTTATATAACATAATTTGAATAGTATCACTAGGCCTAAATTCATATGCACAAAGCCCTAACTGGATGGATGATCCAGTAATGGTATTTCATCTTGTTGACATTTCTGGCCCATATCTATCTATATAGGTATATATAAAAATGAATTGCTGTTCGTTAGTCTCGCTAAAACTCGAGAACGGCTGGACCGATTTGGCTAATTTTGTTCTTAAATTATTTGTGGAAGTCCAGAGAAGGTTTAAAAGGTAGATAAATATGAAAATGCTAGCAATTAAATAAAAATAACAATTTTGTTTTTCCTTTATGTGTCCCCCGTCGGACGGATTCCTTTTGTTTGTTTAAAGTTTATTTTATGCAGAAGATAAGGTCTTTTATTTATCGATTGAGGCACTACGATGTCTACCGAGTCAGCTAGTGTTTCTATAAAATATTATTTATTTTTAAGTTAGTTACATAATTGTTCTCCCTCCAATCCGTCTGAATGCTCATGAAAAATAAACACGTATAAAAGTTTTCCGAGGCTTTATTAAGAAATCAGCCCTAAAAATCAGTTCAGCGCTCTCAAATTCCAATTCTACAATCTGATCCGGCGAATTTAAACGCACGATTGCTTCGAAGCACAAGTAAACTAACTAGACGGTGGTATAAACGTTCGTTTATTGATTTGTTCCGTTTCTAATTATTGCTCCCTCTAGGTATACACTTTGAATACGAACATCAAAAGGCTCACATAAATAATTTAAGCTACAGACAATTTTTTTTTCCTAATAAACAACGAAAAATCATGGATGTATCATGTGTACTTTGTGAGCTCATCCACCCATCTAAGCAATAAAAAATAAAAAGATCCACTTGCAGAGCTCCTCAGGGATTCCGTAAGATGGTATTTTCAACAGAAGTGCCTTATGCCATCTGAGGAATCCTTAAAAGATATATTAATGTTTTTTAAAATGTTAATATACGGGTTTAAATTACGATGCATATTGTTAATGTTAGGACCAAACTCAGACTTGCGGTACTCTATCTGTGTTGTCCCACAATCCACCGGTAGGAAAAAAAAAAATAAAGTGTCACCCATAGGATACCGAATTTTTATTTTGTGCAATATTTTAGTAACTCCATTAACCGTGTACGCCGGATATTGAATTTCCGTGGCAGTTTTATACGTAAGAGCTCTAATGTACAGAGGGTATTTCTAACGTTTTCAAAAACGAAGAGAAACTGTAGAATTCGTGATAAAGAGCAGTAAAGTAAAGACATTACCTGCGCCATTTTACATTTCATATATTATGTTTTTGGACTATACTTAATGCAATATCGATTAAAAAATGCGTGGTTCTTACGTCCATTTAAAGGCGGGCTCATTAAATATTACGATATTTGAAAAAAGTATTTAAACGTTGTTTACGTAATTCCAGTATTCCATTTTATACTAGTAGTTTAAGAGGTTCAGCTTCAGGAATTATCTTTCAACACCCTGTATGTTATAGGTAAAGTAGATATGTATTTTTGGGATAAAAATATAGTAAAAAAACGTTAGTTCATTGAGCATTTATGTAATACTAGTGGTCCTCCGGTTGTCGAAATTCGACTATTATTAATTGAAATTATAAGTTTGTACACTATCATGATTCTCTTGTCAGGGACTACTTCTATAATCACAGATTTCGCCAAGGCTATACTTCAGATAAATATTAATAAAGACAAATATTATTATATAGATACTATAATGAGAACCATAAAATTTTCAATTAGAATTCTCCGCACTAATTGTACTGTTATTTACTTACTCAGGTGTAGTTCAAACATATATTTTTTATACAATATGAAATTGTCGCTTCATCACGCAAAATTTACCAACTTATTGAAAAGACTTATAAGGCAAAAGGTGTTCAATCTCATTGCATTTTTGAAACTAGACTTTGTTGCTTTATTTAATTAACATCTCCTATTTTATTTACGAACTAGCTAACCCGGCAGACTTCGTAGTGCCTCAATCGATAAATAAAAGACCGACCGGGGACACATCAAAGGAAAAACAAAATTGTTATTTTTATTTAATTTCGAGCATTTTCATATTTATCTACCTTTTAAACCTTCTTTGGACTTCCACAAGTAATTCAAGACCAAAATTAGCCAAATCGGTCCAGCCGTTCTCGAGTTTTAGCGAGACTAACGAACAGCAATTCATTTTTATATACATATATAGATTATTACGTATTGTACCCAACTTCGACTACAACAACTACTACGTCTGCAAAGCGAAAATCTGCTTATATTCGGCGTTATTATAGAATGGAAATAATACAGAAAAAAATTTGTACACATAGTACTGTGGATTTTCAACAACTATGTGTTTATATAAATAAATAATAAAACGTTATTTAAAATTACAGACATTCATTTGTATATAACATTTTTGTGGACGGACTTAACTTCGTTTTCATTTCGTTAATAAGTTTAGCCCGCATTTCTAATCCAGTGGTAATCTGTTTATTGGTTTAAATTAATTTGGTTTTACTCCGATCTCACAAAGCTTATCGGAATGAGCTGGAAATTTGAGAGGTCTAGAAATATTAGTTTTTTCGAATGAACACAAACCTTTTCCTTCCAGATGAATGACCTTTAGCAATATTTACTTTCAACAAACAATGTAGGCGTATTTTTTTTACGTCTTTATGGACTTTATTTTTCTTTTATTTTTCTATCTATATATTTTTCGAAAACGCTATTTAATAACTCAACAACGAGTCCCTTACATTCCTCAACATTTATTGAAACCCATATTAAATGTTGAGGATTGCGTCTTGGGAACTTGTTTCGAATTTAGTCAATAATTTGATTCAGAGTTTAGTTTAATATAGAAAAAAACACGTTATAACAAACTGAAAACAATTACTATATTTCAAATTATCAATGGTCAAAGCTTCTATTCAAATTAAGTCAAAACATCGCACCTTTAGAATTATAAAGACCCAACTCAAAAAATGTGTTTTTTGGAAAACATAGATTAAAGTTCTCAAACCGAAAAAACGTAGAGGAAGGGGACGGAGTGAAAGAGACCGATATATAGCTTTGTCCCTTTATAAGCTACTTATGGTCATATGATTACTAAAAGTCGCTGAAAAGGATCGTTTTAGGTACATTTTTTAATTAAAGACGAAATCCAAATATTTCAAAAAGAGTCTATATTATTTTAAAGGCGCGACATGTGCATTGTGTGACATTAAAATTGGAATAGTTTGTTGGACGAAGACGAAATGAAATAACATTAACTTGAAGCGAATCAGGTTTTATTGGATGAATTGAATAAAATTGCACTTACCTTTAATTTGATAGAATGAAAAAACGAGAAGCTGAATAATTTTCATGATAAGATAACTTAGAACAACTGCTTTGTCCGTACGCTACGTACTTTCTGAAAGTCTTTGTTTTATTAACAACAGTTTCGCAGCGGAGCGATGTTGTAAACCATAAAACACAATTCAATTTTAAGATTTAAAAACACTATGAATCTCCTATACTTTTCTATAATAAGAATTTTGTGTAGACCTTCAATCGGCAACAGGGGCAACATATATTAAAAAATAATAGGCATTTCCCTATAAAATTGCCGATTTACAATACTGGCCATTTGAAACATAATTTATATATTGCCGTAAACACTTAACACCAGATGGGGCGTCAGCTCGTCCTTCTACCCAGTAGGTTTGGCCTCACAATAGAGTAAACTCTTTAGCCCAGCAAAAAAGCAAAAAAAAGAACACGGTACAAACACAATTAGAACACAAAAGAGACCTTGTTATTTACTAAAACCGAGCTCTTCCAAACAACCATTAAAAGAAACCAGAATATAAATATTTAGACACAAGAAAAAACTATGTAGATTGTAATGTATCTAGAGACTAATTTTGAACACTCTACTTTTGTACCAGGGACATATTTACATATTTTAGTACAATAGTACATTGTGCACCAAGTTGGACATTTCCTACAAACACGCGGGAGGAAATGAGATGTCTTACTTTTTTCCCGCGGTGCACATATTTTTTTTCCTACCAGGCCGAAAGTTCGACATTGTAAACAACTTAGCACCCGTGGAGTACCGAGCCGGGGTCCAGGGGCGAAGCCCTGGCCGGTGGTAGGGGGGCGGAGCTCCACCCCCCCCACTAAACATAAAAAAAAACAATTTAATTGTTTTTTAATTTTTAAATAAACTACTACTAATTGAATAAGAATTGTCTGATGAAGTCATCTTTGTTTAATACTTCACTATTAAATTTTATTGCCTTTTATTTATTTCACTTTTACACTAAACACAATATTGCAAATTACCCGAGCACAACAATGGCGGAGAATTTTAGGTGCGTGAGAGCAGACGTAGATACTAATGCGCATGCGCACTTATCGGTACCCAGAGAGGAAAAGTTAGATTTTCTTCCCTGTACAGCGAGAGGAAAACCGAACTTTCGGCGTAGGTAGGAAGAAAAAAACATTTGTAAATGGTATCCTTTCCAGGGTCTAATAAATTGCTTTTATAAAAACTGAACACATGTTGTATTATTTGACCTACTGCTTTCCTATTGTCATACAATTAACCGTTTAACTAAATTGATTACGTCCGTTACGAACTGCCTGTACGTTGTTGGACTTTTAAATACGACTATTTGGATCAAAACTAACATATGAATTAAATTTTCCCCTTTATTTTATTCATGAAAATTAGCCGGTAGTTGCACTTCTGATATTACATCATAACATTCATATTGCAGCCTTCGTACTGACCCGTACGGCTTACAACCCACCAAAGACAACACGGAGGAGAGTTGGGTTGTTAAATATATTTATTTGGTGATTCTTACAGATAATAGGGAAGTTTTTGTGTCAACTGGACAAACTGCGACACCAGAAAACGGCAGTTACATTTACAAACATTCTTTAAAACCGTCTGAAAGGAAACAAAGCTAGTGCCAATTACATAAAAAGTAGGTAGATTCGGCTTAAAAGTTATGGGGCATATAGGAAAAGTTTCTGAGAAATTGAATATTTCTATTAGGGGAAAATTAAAGGCGCGCAGACGATAGTAATGTAATCTCAAATAATCCTGTCATTTACTTAATAATATTATAATACAATCACATCTCAATGGGGCGCTGTTGTCTATGTAATATATAGCTTAGGAGACCGACGACCGCTTACGAAAGAATGAAAAATTGACATAATATTATTTCGAAATACATTAATCATGTTCAAAGCTACTGAGATCCAGAGGATTATTCCTTCTTTTTGTATTGTTACAGCGAATCGTAATTTGTGACGTGAAGTTGTGACGAAAGACGTAAAAATGAGTCGGCGAAGTCATTTCGCTTTTAAATTTTGTGGGCTTGATTTTACTTACAATATGGACATAATGTTTGATCTGACTGTGTATCTACAACACCGCTGGTGGCCAAGCCCGGTCTTTGACATTCAAAATAAATATTTTATTTATAGGGGCGTAAACACATTTGGTGTGTGTTTCAAATCAAACAAATCGATGTTAAACAGCTTCCGTTACATGTTTTGGCTGGTTACTGTAAATAGGTTAAATTGATTTAGCGTTTTCTTCCTGATTCGTGTCTTTCGTGTTTTGAAAATTCATGTCTTTGAAAAAAAAAACCGTCGAGCAAGATAAAATTTTATGAGCATATAAATAAATTTTAGAAATACCATTAAATAAATAATAAATAAGAGTACACATTTTATGAAAATTATATTTCGTTTAAAAGGTTTATAGTTGTTGTTAACATGTTTATAGATGTTAAATATATTTAATATGAAATAATGAGCAATTTAGTTATTTTAAAATGATGATTTTTCACTACAATATGATAAAGAACATTCTCCTCTACTTAGGTAATTTCATTGATACTATATTTATCTAAAAACTAGACGTACCCCGCGGCTTAGCTCGCGATTAATTTGTAATTTCGAATAAATGAAACACGTTGCATTTTCCCGGGATAAAGAGTAGCTTGTCACATTCCGATCCATAAACTGTCGTCAACTTGCCGATCCATTGGTACGTATAATAACGAAAGAAATACTGAGCACTCTGCCGTATTTATTGTGGCAGATATACGCGGCGTTTCCTGGGTCAAATGTTATTTACCATAATGAAAAATATATTTTTTAATTTAATCAATAAACGACCAAAAATAAACAAAATTTTTAGTAGAAATTCATAAAAAGGCAGCCGTTTGAAGTTTGCTCCTCTGCTATTGACGATGTTCGTGAGCTACAGCAAACCGCTAACCATCAGATGGTCCTTATGCTCGTCGGGCTACAAAAGTATTAAAAATAAAGTTTCATGTATATAAAAATAAGAATTTCTTTTTAATGTAGGTAGTTTTTTTTTTAGATTTACATTAGATTATGTTAGCTTTTCACTACTTTACTTTGAAAAATATTGAAATTCAATAGTAGTATTAATTAAATAGGCTACTTTTGTTATAAATAGGCAGATCCAACTTATTAATGGTGCTTAGAGACCTGAGACTATAAATATCACAACACAAATAAGCCCGATCTAGAGACGAAAACTTTTGAAATGTAGTAACTTTGCTATTATGTGACGGCTCGCGTGCCCTCTGTGAATGATAATTAATAAGTTTATAGTGAAAAGTCGACAAATAATATCACAAGGACTGCTAGTAGCGCTGTAGACAGGGGTTGTAGAGCGTCGAGAGTCAACTAGAGCCATTCGACTCCGACAACGCGACGCGGCGAACCGCTTCCGCGCGTTCTACGCTTGAAAACTTTCCTCCGTGAATTCACTGACAAATCCGAATACCGCGAACATAAACTTTTATTAATTCAAGTATGATGTGTTTAAAAATAATACATAATTCCCTAAAATACGATCAAAAGTAATTTTAAAATTCGTCATTGTAAAGTTATTTAAAATTTAGAATAATAGTCTGTGTAGAAATTCACGTAAAATATTTACGGATATTTAAAGTTATTTAGTGAAAGTAAATTATATATTTGTCTAGAATTTACATTATTCTGAAACGACATCGCGTGAATTGTGAATGTGCAGAGAATACGAAAACAAATAATAATTGTGTTCTGCGAGTACAAATATGTCGCTCAAAGTGAAGTGATACAACAAAATATCAGCTGAAGTTTACAGTAGTCATTTCTATACGAAGGTTAAACATCAGTAAGTGCGCAATGTCAACTTTGGAAGCGGAGACAAGCTTGCTAATCGTTCTGCAAACAAGCTGCAAAGAGGCGGCGAGCTGTGTATGCTCTTGTGTGGCGTATGAGTTAGCGTACTGAGCTAAGGAGGTCTGTGTGCATACAGAGGAACAAAGACAAATAGGTAGTTTCTATAAAACTTCATCATTCTGCTCCAATACGCAACCTCCGCTTTCTTCAACATGGATGGAAGGCAAGTGTTTATTTTACAACATATTTTAACTACCCTATATGTTTATTTACCATAATTTCCTTCGCGTTATTTTTATAAAAAGTAAATAAAAATTAGCGACTTTTGAGTTGCTACAAGTCGAACGAAGAGTAAATATTTATCAATAAGTGCCAATTATAAATTAGATTTATTATGTAAGTAAATTCTTAGTCTATTTGAATGGACTAAGAATCGACTTACTTAGAAATCGTTTCCGGGTAAAGTTAATGTGATGGAAATTTATAGTACTTTGTAGACAAGTAAAGTTTCCGTCCGATAAAGGAAACATGGTGTTTTAAAATCGTGGTATAACTAATATAAGTGCTCTGAAAGTGGTGGTCTTCTTCAACTTCCATGGTAAGTTAAATGCAATAAGTATTGAAAAGAACAAGACCCGTACGGCCTTACCAAATAGTTTTTTGTAAGTTTACAATATATTTTCTATAAAATAGTAAATAGGAATTTAACCTCCTGTTACAAATTTAGAAACAATGAATTTTCATGTAGCTACCAGAACACTAAAGTAATGGATGTGATAAAATATATTCCAAAGTCAGTCAGTACACTTTTATTTTAATGCCTCTTGTAATCAGTTGAAAATACCAAAAAAATATATAATCTAAAACGAAATACTGTCAGAAAACCTAAGTTACGATTATATAAATGAGTTGTTTTTATGAAAATCCATTAATTAAAATTAAAAAATTAATTTATCCAAAATAATTGTGATTTTTTCCAGACAATCACTAATTTTGATTTTTAATACTAACAGCAGGAAAGTGGTTGTTTAAAAAATGATTTTAACCACTACTAATGTTTATTTACAAAGATTTTCTTCGCGCAGTTTTTATAAAATAAAAATTTAAGCGATTTACACAGACTCAGAGTAAAATATCTATCAATAAGTGTTAATTATAA